AGGTGACCCTTATTGCAAAGAGGGGTCAACCGACTGCTCCCAGCAACACTTCATGGTGGCAATAATGCTTGCTGTTCAATTTTCATTTTAGGTGACCCTTATTGCAAAGAGGGGTCAACCGACTGCTCCCAGCAACACTTCATGGTGGCAATAATGCTTGCTGTTCAATTTTCATTTTAGGTGACCCTTATTGCAAAGAGGGGTCAACCGACTGCTCCCAGCAACACTTCATGGTGGCAATAATGCTTGCTGTTCAATTTTCATTTTAGGTGACCCTTATTGCAAAGAGGGGTCAACCGACTGCTCCCAGCAACACTTCATGGTGGCAATAATGCTTGCTGTTCAATTTTCATTTTAGGTGACCCTTATTGCAAAGAGGGGTCAACCGACTGCTCCCAGCAACACTTCATGGTGGCAATAATGCTTGCTGTTCAATTTTCATTTTAGGTGACCCTTATTGCAAAGAGGGGTCAACCGACTGCTCCCAGCAACACTTCATGGTGGCAATAATGCTTGCTGTTCAATTTTCATTTTAGGTGACCCTTATTGCAAAGAGGGGTCAACCGACTGCTCCCATGCAACACTTCATGGTGGCAATAATGCTTGCTGTTCAATTTTCATTTTAGGTGACCCTTATTGCAAAGAGGGGTCAACCGACTGCTCCCAGCAACACTTCATGGTGGCAATAATGCTTGCTGTTCAATTTTCATTTTAGGTGACCCTTATTGCAAAGAGGGGTCAACCGACTGCTCCCAGCAACACTTCATGGTGGCAATAATGCTTGCTGTTCAATTTTCATTTTAGGTGACCCTTATTGCAAAGAGGGGTCAACCGACTGCTCCCAGCAACACTTCATGGTGGCAATAATGCTTGCTGTTCAATTTTCATTTTAGGTGACCCTTATTGCAAAGAGGGGTCAAGCGACGTGCTCCCAGCAACACTTCATGGTGGCAATAATGCTTGCTGTTCAATTTTCATTTTAGGTGACCCTTATTGCAAAGAGGGGTCAACCGACTGCTCCCAGCAACACTTCATGGTGGCAATAATGCTTGCTGTTCAATTTTCATTTTAGGTGACCCTTATTGCAAAGAGGGGTCAACCGACTGCTCCCAGCAACACTTCATGGTGGCAATAATGCTTGCTGTTCAACTCTCATTTTAGGTGACCCTTATTGCAAAGAGGGGTCAACCGACTGCTCCCAGCAACACTTCATGGTGGCAATAATGCTTGCTGTTCAATTTTCATTTTAGGTGACCCTTATTGCAAAGAGGGGTCAACCGACTGCTCCCAGCAACACTTCATGGTGGCAATAATGCTTGCTGTTCAACTCTTCATTTTAGGTGACCCTTATTGCAAAGAGGGGTCAACCGACTGCTCCCAGCAACACTTCATGGTGGCAATAATGCTTGCTGTTCAATTTTCATTTTAGGTGACCCTTATTGCAAAGAGGGGTCAACCGACTGCTCCCAGCAACACTTCATGGTGGCAATAATGCTTGCTGTTCAATTTTCATTTTAGGTGACCCTTATTGCAAAGAGGGGTCAAGCGACGTGCTCCCAGCAACACTTCATGGTGGCAATAATGCTTGCTGTTCAATTTTCATTTTAGGTGACCCTTATTGCAAAGAGGGGTCAACCGACTGCTCCCAGCAACACTTCATGGTGGCAATAATGCTTGCTGTTCAATTTTCATTTTAGGTGACCCTTATTGCAAAGAGGGGTCAACCGACTGCTCCCAGCAACACTTCATGGTGGCAATAATGCTTGCTGTTCAATTTTCATTTTAGGTGACCCTTATTGCAAAGAGGGGTCAACCGACTGCTCCCAGCAACACTTCATGGTGGCAATAATGCTTGCTGTTCAATTTTCATTTTAGGTGACCCTTATTGCAAAGAGGGGTCAACCGACTGCTCCCAGCAACACTTCATGGTGGCAATAATGCTTGCTGTTCAACTCTCATTTTAGGTGACCCTTATTGCAAAGAGGGGTCAACCGACTGCTCCCAGCAACACTTCATGGTGGCAATAATGCTTGCTGTTCAATTTTCATTTTAGGTGACCCTTATTGCAAAGAGGGGTCAACCGACTGCTCCCAGCAACACTTCATGGTGGCAATAATGCTTGCTGTTCAATTTTCATTTTAGGTGACCCTTATTGCAAAGAGGGGTCAACCGACTGCTCCCAGCAACACTTCATGGTGGCAATAATGCTTGCTGTTCAATTTTCATTTTAGGTGACCCTTATTGCAAAGAGGGGTCAACCGACTGCTCCCAGCAACACTTCATGGTGGCAATAATGCTTGCTGTTCAATTTTCATTTTAGGTGACCCTTATTGCAAAGAGGGGTCAACCGACTGCTCCCAGCAACACTTCATGGTGGCAGATAATGCTTGCTGTTCAATTTTCATTTTAGGTGACCCTTATTGCAAAGAGGGGTCAACCGACTGCTCCCAGCAACACTTCATGGTGGCAATAATGCTTGCTGTTCAATTTTCATTTTAGGTGACCCTTATTGCAAAGAGGGGTCAACCGACTGCTCCCAGCAACACTTCATGGTGGCAATAATGCTTGCTGTTCAATTTTCATTTTAGGTGACCCTTATTGCAAAGAGGGGTCAACCGACTGCTCCCAGCAACACTTCATGGTGGCAATAATGCTTGCTGTTCAATTTTCATTTTAGGTGACCCTTATTGCAAAGAGGGGTCAACCGACTGCTCCCAGCAACACTTCATGGTGGCAATAATGCTTGCTGTTCAATTTTCATTTTAGGTGACCCTTATTGCAAAGAGGGGTCAACCGACTGCTCCCAGCAACACTTCATGGTGGCAATAATGCTTGCTGTTCAATTTTCATTTTAGGTGACCCTTATTGCAAAGAGGGGTCAACCGACTGCTCCCAGCAACACTTCATGGTGGCAATAATGCTTGCTGTTCAATTTTCATTTTAGGTGACCCTTATTGCAAAGAGGGGTCAACCGACTGCTCCCAGCAACACTTCATGGTGGCAATAATGCTTGCTGTTCAACTCTCATTTTAGGTGACCCTTATTGCAAAGAGGGGTCAACCGACTGCTCCCAGCAATACTTCATGGTGGCAATAATGCTTGCTGTTCAATTTTCATTTTAGGTGACCCTTATTGCAAAGAGGGGTCAACCGACTGCTCCCAGCAACACTTCATGGTGGCAATAATGCTTGCTGTTCAATTTTCATTTTAGGTGACCCTTATTGCAAAGAGGGGTCAACCGACTGCTCCCAGCAACACTTCATGGTGGCAATAATGCTTGCTGTTCAATTTTCATTTTAGGTGACCCTTATTGCAAAGAGGGGTCAACCGACTGCTCCCAGCAACACTTCATGGTGGCAATAATGCTTGCTGTTCAATTTTCATTTTAGGTGACCCTTATTGCAAAGAGGGGTCAACCGACTGCTCCCAGCAACACTTCATGGTGGCAATAATGCTTGCTGTTCAATTTTCATTTTAGGTGACCCTTATTGCAAAGAGGGGTCAACCGACTGCTCCCAGCAACACTTCATGGTGGCAATAATGCTTGCTGTTCAATTTTCATTTTAGGTGACCCTTATTGCAAAGAGGGGTCAAGCGACTGCTCCCAGCAACACTTCATGGTGGCAATAATGCTTGCTGTTCAATTTTCATTTTAGGTGACCCTTATTGCAAAGAGGGGTCAACCGACTGCTCCCAGCAACACTTCATGGTGGCAATAATGCTTGCTGTTCAATTTTCATTTTAGGTGACCCTTATTGCAAAGAGGGGTCAACCGACTGCTCCCAGCAACACTTCATGGTGGCAATAATGCTTGCTGTTCAATTTTCATTTTAGGTGACCCTTATTGCAAAGAGGGGTCAACCGACTGCTCCCAGCAACACTTCATGGTGGCAATAATGCTTGCTGTTCAATTTTCATTTTAGGTGACCCTTATTGCAAAGAGGGGTCAACCGACTGCTCCCAGCAACACTTCATGGTGGCAATAATGCTTGCTGTTCAATTTTCATTTTAGGTGACCCTTATTGCAAAGAGGGGTCAAGCGACTGCTCCCAGCAACACTTCATGGTGGCAATAATGCTTGCTGTTCAATTTTCATTTTAGGTGACCCTTATTGCAAAGAGGGGTCAACCGACTGCTCCCAGCAACACTTCATGGTGGCAATAATGCTTGCTGTTCAATTTTCATTTTAGGTGACCCTTATTGCAAAGAGGGGTCAACCGACTGCTCCCAGCAACACTTCATGGTGGCAATAATGCTTGCTGTTCAATTTTCATTTTAGGTGACCCTTATTGCAAAGAGGGGTCAACCGACTGCTCCCAGCAACACTTCATGGTGGCAATAATGCTTGCTGTTCAATTTTCATTTTAGGTGACCCTTATAGCAAAGAGGGGTCAACCGACTGCTCCCAGCAACACTTCATGGTGGCAATAATGCTTGCTGTTCAATTTTCATTTTAGGTGACCCTTATTGCAAAGAGGGGTCAACCGACTGCTCCCAGCAACACTTCATGGTGGCAATAATGCTTGCTGTTCAATTTTCATTTTAGGTGACCCTTATTGCAAAGAGGGGTCAAGCGAGTGCTCCCAGCAACACTTCATGGTGGCAATAATGCTTGCTGTTCAATTTTCATTTTAGGTGACCCTTATTGCAAAGAGGGGTCAACCGACTGCTCCCAGCAACACTTCATGGTGCCGATAATGCTTGCTGGTTATATGTTATTTGGAAATATACTCATGATCAATCTCCTGATTGCTGTATTCAGGTTAGTGGCAAACATTTTACATATATGTTCTATTGCAGTCACATGCATATTTATAAAAACATTTTACTTACGCTCAATTTCAGTCACATACTACTAAAGATGTTTCACAAACGCTCATTTTCAGTCACATACTTACTTAAATATTTCACAAACGCTTTTCAGTCACATACTTACTTAAATATTTCACAAACGCTTTTCAGTCACATACTTACTTAAATATTTCATAAACGCTTTTCAGTCACATATACGAGGAGGTTGCGAGTAACTCAGAGCAGCTTTGGAAGGCGACTAGATACCATCTTGTGATAGAATACAGAGACAAACCAGTGTTTGCCCCTCCTTTGATCGTCCTAGCATTGTTTTGGCGGATGGTTGTTAACATATGTAATTGGGCGCATGCGTTCAAAGAGAAATCCCAAGAAGGTGAATTAGTTAGAATTTTGAATATCACGTTGATGTGAGAAAGCGCAAAGAGCAACAATTGAATTAAAACAGAAATACAGCAATAATGTAGATATTTAAACTTATTACAGTATAACTATAAGACATAGTACCGTTTGTTTACTCATCAATTGTAGACGACGATTTATAAGAATATCACACTTATAGACGTATAGAGCTAATAATGATGACGTAATGGATCAAATGCTTCATAAGGTATACGTTATACGGGAATAATAAACATGCTATGAGTTGCTAATATCCATGTATAGACTGTATGTATTTTTATTTCATGAATTAATTGAACGAATATATGATTTGTATTAAAGGACACACAGACAGTGATATATTGAAGCAATTTGAGGCTGATTGTTTGTCCAACTACATCAAACGCCACAGAGATGAGGGCGAGCAAAAAACTGATCAGATGCTTAAAACTATATTAGACCTGTGAGTATCATATATTGGGAGTGTTTTGAAATGTTCAGTAAATTGATATTTAATGCAAACTAATTAACACACCAACATTTTCTTATATTCAAATTTTGATGTTTACACTTATCATGGTATAGGCTAAATAAATTCATTACAGTATAGATTACAGATGATGTTGGTAGTAGTAGAAGTTATCATATATGTGGATTATCGTTTGTATTTAAGCTCATTCACATTATTTATTTATCACTAAGGCAACGAACCATAGAAACAGAGCGTCGGGAACGCGCTGAAGAAGAAAAGCAACGTTACCAACGTGAATTGCTGCTCCAGGAAAAATCACCACCGCCAAACAGTGCAAACGTGAAATCAAAGTCTAAGCCTCAGCTCAAAAATTCAAACACGATCGCCAACAAAGACCCTGACCCTCAGCTTCCTAAAGGACCTGGCAAAAACAGTGATCGTGATGAACAAATAACAACTGGGATTGTAGGGAATCAGATCTCTTGCAATATAAATCCCCCGCTTACATTGGTTGATAACGCAGGCAAGATGTCTAGCGGTGACGACACAGATACAGATGACGATGACAACACTTCTCCGAAAAAGAGTCTAATTTAGTCAAGCTGGCCTAATTACCACGGTGGTCCAACTATACAGGAAAACAATCATTAATTTGAGTTTTAGACCTACCAGACGTTTGAAAATCAAGGATTGTGAGTATCATAGTGCCCTGTTTTTCTTCCATTCAAAGCAAAACAAACGTGGCTTTCTGTCTGTACATTTCATGCTTTATTGTACAGAGTCAATCCTTTTAGCGGCGTTTGTGTCCCCAGATGTTAGTGCTTCTCACAGCTGGGGACCCAAAATCCGCTAAAAGGAACATTTTCAAACACCTAGTAGGTCTAAAATTCAAATTAACGGTCGTAGTTGGCGCCGCGTGATTAAGATTAAAATCTTAAAATATACGAATTTCAGGACTCGGGAACAGGGTAAAATGGGAACATTTGAGCCCATTTGATTAATCACTTTGAAACTCAAAACTTAAAATTATGTAACAGAAGTGCCATTGTCGGCCACAGATACCAAGACAATCATTGTTAAACTCAATGTTATTTTATTAATATGATATATTCTAAAGTCTGGCATGTACATTTGGAATGTTTCTTGTATGTGATGCCTGTGAATATGGTTTGTAAATCCCAATAGTTATATATCCCCATGAAATCTAGGGCCCCCAAAAGAATGAACATTTGGTAACCGTCAGACCAATAACCATTACGGTTTATGAGAGTATGTAACGCATTTTAAATACTGTTGTAATGACCTTCGATAGCAAGTCGCTACTACAGTCTCAGCTATACTGGCAAGCCCTTATGGCTCGGGGGTAGAGCGTCTGACTCGAGAGCGGAATGTCCTGGGTTCTGAGTAGTCGATATACCTGGATGGCATTGTTCATGATGTTCTTTATTGAATGTGTATTAACACTTCACAATATAAATATATTACTTTCTTTGAAATAGGCACGCTCATTTAAATGTTAAGATGTATAATGATCTAATAACAATGTACATTGTAATATCAATAATATTTTGATAACCCTTTTGTAAATGCGTTCTGTAATGTAATTTATGTAATATTTGTTTTGCTGTCCAATATAACGGAGGAAATAAAGATACATAACAAAACATTGTTACAGGGTGACCCAAATCTCTCATTATGGAATTTTGGAATAATTCCACCTTAATGAATGCCACCTTAACAAGTATTTTCTCAGGAATAGATGAACTGAATTCTGTTGTAGCCGTGCGGTATCACCAACAAATCTGCAAAATATACAACGGATCAGTTGCAATTTATGCGCGTATTGTGAAATTAAAATCATCACGTCAAAATATCCAACCTCAATAGAAAAGTCACTAATTTCAGTCAAAACGAATTTGTTTCTCAAATTTAAAGTAGAAATGGCTTTGTGTATCTTCCCTATGACATAATTATCTTGGCATGTTCGATGTCGTGGATTTTTGTTGACAGTTACACGACTCCGTCCCTTGCCCAGAAATTCCTTTGCGTTTCTTCTTTCACCATATCCCACCGTGTATCCGTTCTCTTAACTAGTTTTCAATGATAGCCACATCACTTTCACTCAATGGCATCGGTATTTTGGACCCGACACCCAGATATCTCTCATTTTCACTCCTCGTCTAAGACAAACTATTTTTAGACTAAAACTGATTGACAGAATTCAACACCAAACAGGTGGCAGATCTGATTTTGGATCTTTACAACCTGTTTTGAAGTTCAAGTCGAAATCCAAGTTGACTAGGGTCCGAGTTGACTATGGTTCGAGATGACTAGTGTTCAAGTAATCTAGGGTCCGGGTTGACCAGATACCATGAAATATAGTGCTTGTGTAGGTTTACTAGGTCATATAAAACAGATAGTTACTTGATTCTTCAAAATCTTACAAAGCGCTCATTTGAACATAATGAGGGCAAACTTAGACAAATGTTCTCAATGAATGCCATCTTAAACAGATATTTTCAATGTAGGTCAATTTAAACAGAGGGTTTTAATGTAGGTCAACTTAAACACAGATTTTCAATGTACGTCAATTTAAGTAGATGTTTCCAATGTAGGTCAATTTAAAAAGAGGGATTCGATCTGTGTAGGTCAACAGATTTTCAATGTAGGTCAATATAAACAGAGGTTTCCAGTATAGGTCAACTTAAACAGATGTTTTAAATGTAAGTCAATTTAAAATGAGATTTTCAATGTAGGTCAATTTAAACAGAGGGTTTCAATGTAGGTCAATTTAAACAGAGGGTTTTAGTGTAGGTCAACTTAAACACAGATTTTCAATGTACGTCAATTTAAGTAGATGTTTCCAATGTAGGTCAATTTAAAAGAGGGATTCTGTGTAGGTCAACAGATTTTCAATGTAGGTCAATATAAACAGAGGTTTCCAGTATAGGTCAACTTAAACAGATGTTTTAAATGTAAGTCAATTTAAAAAGAGATTTTCAATGTAGGTCAATTTAAACAGAGGGTTTCAATGTAGGTCAATTTAAACAGAGGTTTTCAATGTACATCAATTTAAACAGATGTTTTCAATCTAGGTCAAAGTAAACAGAGGGTTTCAGATCAGTGTAGGTCAACCTAAACAGAGGGTTTCAGTGGAGGTCAACCTAAACAGAGGGTTTCAGATCAGTGTAGGTCAACCTAAACAGAGGGTTTCAGTGGAGGTCAACCTAAACAGAGGGTTTCAGTGTAGGTCAACCTAAACAGAGGGTTTCAGTGTAGGTCAACCTAAACAGAGGGTTTCAGTGGAGGTCAACCTAAACAGAGGGTTTCAGTGTAGGTCAACCTAAACAGAGGGTTCCAGTGGAGGTCAACCTAAACAGAGGGTTTCAGTGGAGGTCAACCTAAACAGAGGGTTTCAGTGTAGGTCAACCTAAACAAAGGGTTTCAGTGTCAGTCAACCTAAACAGAGGGTTTCAGTGTAGGTCAACCTAAACAGAGGGTTTCAGTGGAGGTCAACCTAAACAGAGGGTTTCAGTGGAGGTCAACCTAAACAGAGGGTTTCAGTGTAGGTCAACCTAAACAGAGGGTTTCAGTGTAGGTCAACCTAAACAGAGGGTTTCAGTGGAGGTCAACCTAAACAGAGGGTTTCAGTGTAGGTCAACCTAAACAAAGGGTTTCAGTGTAGGTCAACCTAAACAGAGGGTTTCAGTGTAAGTCAACCTAAACAGAGGGTTTCAGTGTAGGTCAACCTAAACAGAGGGTTTCAGTGGAGGTCAACCTAAACAGAGGGTTTCAGTGGAGGTCAACCTAAACAGAGGGTTTCAGTCTAGGTCAACCTAAACAAAGGGTTTCAGTGTAGGTCAACCTAAACAGAGGGTTTCAGTGTAGGTCAACCTAAACAGAGGGTTTCAGTGGAGGTCAACCTAAACAGAGGGTTTCAGTGGAGGTCAGAGAGACTCAATTACAAGAGCTGGGTTTGTTTTAAAGGTATAATTTAATTTATTGCATAACAAATTTTATAAAAATACAATGATTGTGAGTATAAATTATCTACAATCATATTATACATGTAATTTAAAAAACAAAACTGAACAATCATTGTGTACAGCATAGACATTGTGACCAAGGTATGTCGTAATCAAAACAGAAGTGAATACATCAAGGAGCTCAAAATATTATTCCTTTAAACATTGGGTGAACCAATATCTTTCATATAATCCCATCCTTTACAGCGTCCCATTTATGAAGAAATAGGAACTATAAATTGAGGGCTATTGAGAATCAACACCTAAAGGCGAATCAACACCTCATGACCAGGATATTTGAAGCTTGTGTACCAGTCCTAGTTCCACCCAAAGGAAAGGGTTTTAACAATAATATGTAATGACTCAAAGGCCAATTCTGGACTCTTGGGGAAGACTACTTGATGAGAAAATGAATTGTTCATGTGGTGAAGCAAACCATATAGTACCATCAATAATAAACGTGTGTCTACTGTCCTTATAATTCAATGCCAGTGCTATAATGGAACTTACAACACTAATCTTGACTGCTGATCTAAAACTGAGCTGAAACATGAGCACAGCAGAGATCACAAAATAGGTGAGATAAACCTAAATAGGTGAGGCAAATCTAAAGCCAAAGTGAAAATTATACTACAGGGACCATTGCACTAAGGGGACATACAGACATAATATTCACAATTTTAGTCAAGAGAAACTTCAAAAATAATTTCTGTATTCCATTTCTGAGAAAGTCCATTACACTTGTGCTGTCACTTTTTCAACCCTTACAATTAATTACATTTACCTTACAAAACATTTCTTGGATTATTGTATTTATTGCACTATACTTCGCTTATATGTACATTGCTTGTTAGTCTGTAAACACAAGACAGTTTATTACATTATACCAAAAGCCTTGGAAAATCCTTGTATCTGGTCACCAGCTGGTTTCAACGTATAGACCTGCCTCCTAGGCCTTTCTATTTGAAATGCTAATCTAAATTACAATATACCGATACTATCTTTTTTCAATGGTGAATTATGGATTGATATGGCATATCAAGTCAACATTGTTTCTATTTGAATTTTATTACTAGATTAGTACATGTATTTTGAATCTATTTGTCCATTGCTTTTGTCTTTTTGTGCCTCAACATACTTTTTCTGTACATTATTTGTTTTATTTGGCAATTTTATTATTTGTTTTTATATGTACATAATTTGTTTCTCTTTGTATACAACACATTTTAACATTTTTTTTCAAAGTAATATATGAAGTAGAAGACAAAAACCGACTCCTACTTTTCTAGATATTTCAATCAAATACAAGAATACGGCAAATTGATTCATTATATGGCACTTACATTTCTAGATTACCTTAATTAAGCATCCATTAATCATATAGTAATATGATATAATCCACATGTTAGTATTGGATTCTAATGCACAAAATCTCAAATATTCAATAATAGTCCTGATCTCCACATGGTGAAAGCACTAAATTAAATAGCACCACTGATTAACTGAATTAATAAACAAGGCATTAACATGCAAAAATCACCACCTGTCATTTGTTACAGATGCTTTTACACCCACTAACTAGTCTAAACAGCCAATCACCAAACACCAAAGACAGTCCACATATAGTTGGAGACTATAACAATATGTCATCACTTGCGGCGGTGACGTAAAAATGTATCTGGTCTAATAATGTCTTCAGTGTTACAGACGTTCCTAGCAGCACCCTCCTTTAGAATTATCTGATGGAGCGCAACAGGCACCTTTTGAGGGTCCTCCCTTAGCCAGGTACTCAAATGGATCAACTATATCCTCCTGAAAATAATTTAACAATGAGATTGAGAACAATTGAACAACTTCAAAATGCGACCATATATATTTTTTTATGTTGGGTCAAGTGACTGATTTTTATCTTTGTTCTTATGTATTATGTGTACTACATGTATCAAGCATTTTCAGGTGTAATAAAAGTACATATTAGTGTGCTGTGCTTGAAAAAAAATGTCACAATTGAGTACAGATTGATCCAAGACACAAAATAAATTGATTATGTGTCGAGTTTGGACGACTATGTATTAAAGAGTTCAGTATTATTGATTACCATGTTCCACTCACCTCTTTTGGGGAACAGCTAGCTCCACCTTTTACTGCACTGGGTTGGAATGTGAACTCATCTGCAAGACGACTGCATTGTAGTATAGTAGAGATATCACTGTCTACTGATACAACGTCACCAGCCTGTAATAAAGTATATAGAGATATACACAAAGTCTCTACAGACACACTGTCACTAGCCTGTAATGAAGTATAGAGATATACACAAAGTCTCTACAGACACACTGTCACTAGCCTGTAATGAAGTATATAGAGATATACACAAAGTCTCTACAGACACACTGTCACTAGCCTGTAATAAAGTATATAGAGATATACACAAAGTCTTTATAGACACACCGTCACTAGCCTGTAATAAAGTATATAGAGATATACACAAAGTCTCTACAGACACACTGTCACTAGCCTGTAATGAAGTATATAGAGATATACACAAAGTCTCTACAGACACACTGTCACTAGCCTGTAATAAAGTATATAGAGATATACACAAAGTCTTTATAGACACACCGTCACTAGCCTGTAATAAAGTATATAGAGATATACACAAAGTCTCTACAGACACACTGTCACTAGCCTGTAATAAAGTATATAGAGATATACACAAAGTCTTTATAGACACACCGTCACTAGCCTGTAATAAAGTATATAGAGATATACACAAAGTCTTTATAGACACACTGTCACTAGCCTGTAATAAAGTATATAGAGATATACACAAAGTCTCTACAGACACACTGTCACTAGCCTGTAATGAAGTATATAGAGATATACACAAAGTCTCTACAGACACACTGTCACTAGCCTGTAATAAAGTATATAGAGATATACACAAAGTCTTTATAGACACACCGTCACTAGCCTGTAATAAAGTATATAGAGATATACACAAAGTCTTTATAGACACACCGTCACTAGCCTGTAATAAAGTATATAGAGATATACACAAAGTCTCTACAGACACACTGTCACTAGCCTGTAATGAAGTATATAGAGATATACACAAAGTCTCTACAGACACACTGTCACTAGCCTGTAATGAAGTATATAGAGATATACACAAAGTCTCTACAGACACACTGTCACTAGCCTGTAATAAAGTATATAGAGATATACACAAAGTCTCTACAGACACACTGTCACTAGCCTGTAATGAAGTATATAGAGATATACACAAAGTCTCTACAGACACACTGTCACTAGCCTGTAATAAAGTATATAGAGATATACACAAAGTCTTTATAGACACACCGTCACTAGCCTGTAATAAAGTATATAGAGATATACACAAAGTCTTTATAGACACACTGTCACTAGCCTGTAATAAAGTATATAGAGATATACACAAAGTCTCTACAGACACACTGTCACTAGCCTGAAATGAAGTATATAGAGATATACACAAAGTCTCTACAGACACACTGTCACTAGCCTGTAATAAAGTATATAGAGATATACACAAAGTCTCTACAGACACACTGTCACTAGCCTGTAATGAAGTATATAGAGATATACACAAAGTCTCTACAGACACACTGTCACTAGCCTGTAATAAAGTATATAGAGATATACACAAAGTCTCTACAGACACACTGTCACTAGCCTGTAATGAAGTATATAGAGATATACACAAAGTCTCTATAGACACACCGTCACTAGCCTGTAATGAAGTATATAGAGATATACACAAAGTCTCTACAGACACACTGTCACTAGCCTGTAATGAAGTATATAGAGATATACACAAAGTCTCTACAGACACACTGTCACTAGCCTGTAATAAAGTATATAGAGATATACACAAAGTCTCTACAGACACACTGTCACTAGCCTGTAATGAAGTATATAGAGATATACACAAAGTCTCTACAGACACACTGTCACTAGCCTGTAATAAAGTATATAGAGATATACACAAAGTCTTTATAGACACACCGTCACTAGCCTGTAATAAAGTATATAGAGATATACACAAAGTCTCTACAGACACACTGTCACTAGCCTGTAATAAAGTATATAGAGATATACACAAAGTCTCTACAGACACACTGTCACTAGCCTGTAATGAAGTATATAGAGATATACACAAAGTCTCTACAGACACACTGTCACTAGCCTGTAATAAAGTATATAGAGATATACACAAAGTCTCTACAGACACACTGTCACTAGCCTGTAATAAAGTATATAGAGATATACACAAAGTCTCTACAGACACACTGTCACTAGCCTGTAATAAAGTATATAGAGATATACACAAAGTCTTTATAGACACACCGTCACTAGCCTGTAATAAAGTATATAGAGATATACACAAAGTCTCTACAGACACACTGTCACTAGCCTGTAATAAAGTATATAGAGATATACACAAAGTCTTTATAGACACACCGTCACTAGCCTGTAATAAAGTATATAGAGATATACACAAAGTCTTTATAGACACACTGTCACCAGCCTGTAATAAAGTATATAGAGATATACACAAAGTCTCTACAGACACACTGTCACTAGCCTGTAATAAAGTATATAGAGATATACACAAAGTCTTTATAGACACACCGTCACTAGCCTGTAATAAAGTATATAGAGATATACACAAAGTCTCTACAGACACACTGTCACTAGCCTGTAATGAAGTATATAGAGATATACACAAAGTCTCTACAGACACACTGTCACTAGCCTGTAATAAAGTATATAGAGATATACACAAAGTCTCTACAGACACACTGTCACTAGCCTGTAATAAAGTATATAGAGATATACACAAAGTCTCTACAGACACACTGTCACTAGCCTGTAATGAAGTATATAGAGATATACACAAAGTCTCTACAGACACACTGTCACTAGCCTGTAATAAAGTATATAGAGATATACACAAAGTCTCTACAGACACACTGTCACTAGCCTGTAATGAAGTATATAGAGATATACACAAAGTCTCTACAGACACACTGTCACTAGCCTGTAATGAAGTATATAGAGATATACACAAAGTCTCTATAGACACACCGTCACTAGCCTGTAATAAAGTATATAGAGATATACACAAAGTCTCTACAGACACACTGTCACTAGCCTGTAATAAAGTATATAGAGATATACACAAAGTCTTTATAGACACACCGTCACTAGCCTGTAATGAAGTATATAGAGATATACACAAAGTCTCTACAGACACACTGTCACTAGCCTGTAATGAAGTATATAGAGATATACACAAAGTCTCTACAGACACACTGTCACTAGCCTGTAATAAAGTATATAGAGATATACACAAAGTCTCTACAGACACACTGTCAGTAGCCTGTAATAAAGTATATAGAGATATACACAAAGTCTTTATAGACACACCGTCACTTGCCTGTAATAAAGTATATAGAGATATACACAAAGTCTTTATGGACACACCGTCACTAGCCTGTAATGTTAAGATATCACCTTTGAATGAAACAATGTCTCCAGGCTATAATGTAGCATTATTACCACCTTGCCGGGCCAGTTCTAGGGGTTTTAGTGCTAGTTAAGAAGGCATTCAATTTACTATATCGACCTGAGAAATGTGTGACGTCATAGTGGTGGTCCATATGGACCGGTCTAGAATATATTCTGGACCAGCAATTTTTCCCCGGGAAATTAGATATGGTTCAGTGCGTAAGATGTTCTTGCTATTTCAATCCTGGTCGTTAACGGTGGTAATAATACTAATAACGTCATTTCTGCAAACAATAGTGAAATATTGGACCTTGGGTCTTTGGCCCTCGGTCCAATATTTCACTATATTGCCCTTAGAAATGACGTTATTGTACTATTATAGAGAGAGGAGTTAAATTAGGTTTATCGTTATTTTACAGGGAATATACAGGAAACCTGTCTAAGTGGAACACATTTAGTACTTCTAAAAAGTGGTTCACTTGGAAGGTGTTCCACTTATAGAGGTTCATTTAACAATAAGTCAGTTGTTCTTGGCACTCTAAAAAGTGTTCCACTAACATGTATATTCCACTTCTACTTTACAGGGTCCACTGTTGTACAGTAAAACCTGTCTTAATGAACATCTCTCTCTAGTGAAAACCTGTCTCTAGTGGACTTCTGTACCTTTCAGATACATTTCTTTGGAAAAACATGTGTTCACTGTACACAGGTTCTACTGTTGTAATACTTACACAGAATATATGGTTGTAATCTAACTTGAATTCTTTTTCAGAGTCTTCTATGTTTCCTTCATAAATCACTTGTGATGCTGGCTTCTCAGTCTTGGGGAGTTTAAACATACGGTAAGTGACTGACACAAACTTGGCATCCCCTAAAGTAAATAACAAAGCATGAAAATAACATCAAACTGCAAAGGTGTAACACTATATTTTTAAAAATCTGATGAAATTAGAGTAAAAATATCAAGACATTTTGGACGACCCTAATTTATTGTGTACAGTATGTAACAAGCTCCACTTAGCAACTTTGATTAAAATAAGGATTATCATTACACATGAATATCAAAAGAAACAGCAATTTCAACTTGTATTTTTCTAAACCAAAATCACCTGTAACGTTTGATGATCTTTAAACTTTTTGACATTAATATTCCCTGTTGTTTTCATCCATTCTGACCAATACAAATATCTAATGATAATAATGATAATCCTTCCACATAACTTTTATATCCTATATTTCTGTCTAACCTCTTTGCAAACTTTACAAACGTAAGGATACCATTATAAAAGAAAAATTGTACCTAGCACTTCTTTAAGCTCTGGCTTCGTAACTTCTATAATTCCAGCTTCTACAAGTCTTGGCCGACTGAAGCCCACTTTCTTTGAAATGTCAACAAAATCCTTCCAATAGAGGGCGCCAGCTATGCATTCTCCTGGAATAAATAAATTAAACTGAATATGATTTATCGAAGTATTATGGCTTATGAATGGTCAGTCATGGCTTGAAAGTGGTCACACTCAGAAAAATAGCTTGCTTCAATGCATGAGTTATTGAATTGTATTGTTACCACGCTGACCATTCCCGGGAGCGTCTGACAGTGATTGACATACTGCCTATGTTGTTCTACTTTACAGAATGTGATATACAATAACAAGATTCCATTGAAACCACATTTGAGATACATGTAGGGGAGGTCAGTGGTTGATGTAAGAACTTCTAAAAAAGAACTGCCAATTGAAACCAATTGTAACTCCTCCAAAAATGTAACTTTTTAAAAACAACATAGTGACTTATAGTTAAATGATCCCCTGTATGTGGAGCAATGGAACACCTGAGTGGAACCTTTAGAAATATCAAAGCCATATTCAACAGATTTACTGCATGTATTATGGCTAAGATGTATAGATCTGGGTGAATATCACCTACCCCATAAAACTTTATGTTTTCTAATGTCATCAGATAGTTCCCTATCTGCATAAACATCACTGAAATAGAGCTCTCCACCTTCCTGAAATCATACATATTTCAACTGGTACTTCGGCTCCTGCCCTGATGATATACAACAGGGTAGGAGCTGGAGTAACCACATCAACATCATTTGATAACACAGTATATTTGATATTCTAAAATCAAAATAATATAACTATTACTAAAAAAACAATTTTTAGGGATGAACTGATCGATTGTATGCACTCTGTTAAACTAGTTTCACTTGAAAACAGTAGCTCTGTGGAGTAGCAAATCCCACCAAACAAAATATATTTTATCAATTTAAAATACCTTGTCATCTTTGATGTTACATTATAGAAATATCCAGGAAATTAGAAGAAGTCTTGTCTCGTTTTGGTATTTGCATTATCAAAATCATTTAGAAATAAGTGGCCATATTGAAAATCCCTCCTTTAGCAGAGGTCCTTTGCCCATAAGACAGAAGCCTCCAATATTTGAACCAAATTCTGTAGATGGTATTTAAGTAACCACTTTGAAATTCAGTAACCCTCTTGAAACATTATCCTTGAGAAGCGCTCCTACAACACTAGGCCTCAGCACATAAAATTTTGACCAAATCTGTCAATCGGTATTTGAGTTATTGCAAAGATACACAAACAGATGAACAGAAGGATGGGTGGATTCTCTATATCCCTACAAACTTCATTCGGTGGGATAATTAACAAATACAAATTTTTGCAACAAAAATAACTAATATTTCTTAAATGAAATCTAGTGTTCTTACCTTGAGTACTCTATAAGCCTCGGCTATAACTGCATGCTTGTCATTAATACTAGTGTTCTTACCTTGAGTACTCTATAAGCCTCAGCTATAACTGCATGCTTGTCATTAATACTAGTGTTCTTACCTTGAGTACTCTATAAGCCTCAGCTATAACTGCATGCTTGTCATTAATACTAGTGTTCTTACCTTGAGTACTCTATAAGCCTCAGCTATAACTGCATGCTTGTCATTAATTCTAGTGTTCTTACCTTGAGTACTCTATAAGCCTCAGCTATAACTGCATGCTTGTCATTAATTCTAGTGTTCTTACCTTGAGTACTCTATAAGCCTCAGCTATAACTGCATGCTTGTCATTAATTCTAGTGTTCTTACCTTGAGTACTCTATAAGCCTCAGCTATAACTGCATGCTTGTCATTAATTCTAGTGTTCTTACCTAGAGTACTCTATAAGCCTCAGCTATAACTGCATGCTTGTCATTAATTCTAGTGTTCTTACCTAGAGTACTCTATAAGCCTCAGCTATAACTGCATGCTTGTCATTAATTCTAGTGTTCTTACCTTGAGTACTCTATAAGCCTCAGCTATAACTGCATGCTTGTCATTTATACTAGTGTTCTTACCTTGAGTACTCTGTAAGCCTCAGCTATAACTGCATGCTTGTCTGGGGAGAGGTTAATAACACAGTTGGAGCTAAAAATACAACAATTCTCAAATACAGGTTTTACTGACTATTACAAGCACATGACCCCTGAACCAGATAAACAATTTCATGCTGACATACGGCATCATAAATTACAGTTCTCTTTGAGCCCCCCCTCCCTCATATCAGGACCGCTCTCAAAATTGTAAGCATTTACTGATATTTTTGAATTTTTTGAACTACAAACTTGCTTCCTTTCAATTGTTTAGAATTTCCCACCTTCCTAAAACATGATAAATTATGACCATGATAATTAGTATACTGTTGCAAGTAATTGTCATCATTTGAAATCACAACTTCTAAAGGAGATTACATGCCAGTCTTGAAATTTATTCTCCTCTAAACTGTGTGTTAACTTAACCTGAGGCAAAATAACTTGCAATAAATAAATGTTAACAAATGTATTCTCTTCTCACACTATGATGTCAAATGCATTGTCTACTTACACAATGATGTCAAATGCATTGTCTACTCACACAATGATGTCAAATGCATTGTCTACTCACACAATGATGTCAAATGCATTGTCTACTCACACAATCATGTCAAATACATTGTCTACTCACACAATCATGTCAAATGCATTGTCTACTCACACAATCATGTCAAATGCATTGTCTACTCACACAATGATGTCAAATGCATTGTCTACTTACACAATGATGTCAAATGCATTGTCTACTCACACAATCATGTCAAATGCATTGTCTACTTACACAATCATGTCAAATGCATTGTCTACTCACACAATGATGTCAAATGCATTGTCTACTCACACAATCATGTCAAATGCATTGTCTACTCACACAATGATGTCAAATGCATTGTCTACTCACACAATGATGTCAAATGCATTGTCTACTCACACAATGATGTCAAATACATTGTCTACTCACACAATGATGTCAAATGCATTGTCTACTCACACAATGAGGTCAAATACATTGTCTACTCACACAATGATGTCAAATGCATTGTCTACTCACACAATGATGTCAAATGTGTTGTCCTTTAGTCCAGCTTCTCCAAGTTTTTCAATGTAGCCTTTTACAAACTCTACATTAGACTTAGCAAAGCCAAACTTTTCTCTGTGGTAATCTATGTATTTATTAGCCACTTCCAGCTAGAAATCAGAATATAGGATAATACGTTGAGAGAATTATTGTAACAATATCTTAAATAATACTTTAAACTGCATTTTAATGAACACCACAATTTAGTCAAATCAGACTGTTGTGGGAGGGAAATTTCCAATTAAACTTTTAAATATAAAACAAGTTAAGAGAATTTTCAAGTTGTGGCTTATAATACTTGTAACGGAATGAAGGACGTGATCACTGCTGGTGGTGGTAGAGAAAGCTTTGATAATTTATAGCATAAGCACACCGTACCTGTTCATCTGTCATGTCAATTCCAACAACATGTCCATTCTTTCCTACAAGCTTGCTAAGAATGTAGCAGTCTCTCCCTGACCCTGAGCCCAGATCCAATATGGACATATCCTCTAAGGTTGTAGGTATACATAGACCACAACCATAGTATCTGGTGAATAAATATGAGGAAAATGTTCACATGTTATATAGAACAATCATACATACCCTGAGTTTCAGAGCTTTGTACACTAGGCTCTGAGTAAGAGAAATAAGCAAACACTCTTGAAGATCTATTTGACCTTGAAGGTAGCTGTTATGGCCTTTTGTGAGAATGTCAATGTGCAATAAATGCCTGCATGCACTTTGGATAGCACAGAATTCAGTGAATGCTACTTTAATTGAGTAGCTGGATTACAATTGACCATATTCTTAGCTGGGGATTGTTCAAAGGGTTATCTCCAACTCTAAGAGTGTAGATGAATAGCTCTTTCAAGGATATAAAATGTTTATAATGTTATACTTGAGGTGACTTCAAAATATAAAACAAAATGGAGATTTAAACTTACTTAATGACAACTTCGTCATGTACTTGGGCAATTGCTTTTCTGATATGCTTGGCGATCTTTGCAGAGCCCTCTATTGAAACACAGGCATTTGTCTTTAAGTCATCCGTCTTTGATAGCACTTTTCCATAGTAATCCTTCACAGAATCTGTTACCAACTCCTCAGCCATGCTATAACAAAGAGAATGAAACCAAATAGTGAAAGTCAGGATTGTTTTGTGAAATAACAATTTATGTCAACATGTAAATATATTTCTCAATTTACAATCGGTGGCTTAACCTTAAGCACAAGAACATAGTATGGATGTTAGAGGGTAGTTGTGTCTTTCTAATGATGTCTGTCGGACATATTCTTTGAGGTACTACAGGCCTGTAGCCAGGAATTTTCTGAAAATGAATCCCTCTTGGCAAAAGCTGGCTTTAGGCCTGTACTAGAAATACATGTAGCTGTAAATAACCCAAGTTACCAAAGCCAACTGCCAAGATTACATAAGTAAATAAAGTAATTTAGATTACTGAGTACATATATCTTATATATGGTAAAATCCATACAATATTGTACTAAGGGGCAACATTTTCATCTTACAAAATAGCACACTTCTATAAACTACAGGACCCTATTACATAAACAGTGGAAGGCCATACGCTGATGAGTTGGACAATTATTTGATCAAGATGATGAGAGATTTGACTAATATAACACCTGGGGCAGGAGCATTTTTTGTTCCCACTAATTGCTAAACCTCTTCACTTATCTGCAAAACTTTGGTCACAACACAGATAAGTCTGTATGAGAGCTGTTCAATAAATTTTGATCAAAATGGTCTCGTTTTGATGTCATCACCAGAAGTGGTGACATATTATTATACTCAACAACAACTTTATTTGTGGATGGTGATAAAATAACATTTTTCCATCGTAAATTATAAAAGCATACACTCTATCGATAAATAGCCTGTAATTCCTGATTTCACCTTGATTTTCTAGCAAACAAGAAAATGAGAGCACCTGTACACTTTATCGGTATTTATTGAACAACCTTTGTACTTATTGAAACTGCAAAATTTCATCAGAAATATGCAGTATAGTACTGTATTGATACAACTGATTTCTCTAGAAGTGGCAACAATAGGCTAAACTGCAAGTCATTCCCGTTGATCCTGGGTTGAGTCTTCAATTAATAAAATTTTGAGACTCCTACATACCTTATTTTTTACATGAACCAACTTTTTCTCATGAATGTATAAAAGCCATAAATTATTGACTCACGGGATGTCATCGACTTATTTGGTCAATGTGGCAGAGCAAGTCGTTTTTACAAGAAATTTCAAGATTTTCAAACAATTTATTTTTTTAACTGGAAATCTGCTTATTCCAAGAGAAAATGAACCAGTATATACAATGACAATGACAATCATCCTTCCGGAAGCGGAAGTCTTTTATGATCTTTGACTGTGAAAATTACTTGCTGCATGACCTTCTTCCTAATAAAATTGATTTTGGATTCTAGCCCCATTTGCATCTAAAGTTCTATTCAAAATTCTGCCTGATATTGACCATGTATTATACGTGTAAATGTCAAGAATTTGAAAGATAATGTAGAGTAAAATAACCACATGGTGCCTAGGTCTGAAAAAAACTTCAGCCACTAGCATAATAAGCCACGGATGTGACATGTCGTCGCATTCTAAGTCCCAGGTATTAAATATTTGTGAAACTTATGAAGTGTCAATTTAGAACATAGTGAAAATACTGCATCAAGTCAGAGAAGGTTATCCCGTGCCAGGACTACAGTGTACATGTACAATCCTGATATAGGCAGACGATCAGTCATATAAGCCTGAGAATTACACCCTAAATGATATAAGAAAAAAATAATCCATACCTCAATCTTGCTATTCTTGCCAAATAATACTGGAAATGTAAGACCATTGCAAAAGGCTTAAATCATATTCAGAGCACCTTATTTTCGTGAATGGACCAATCAGGATGCATGCGACACTCATGTACAACAGCCATAAAGATATGGAATGTGAATTTCACTTCCATTGCCTGGTGTATAATCAGCTTAGAGTAATTTACTGTAGAACTGTCTGTGTTACACGATCACTAGGACATTACCCACAAACACTGGTGATCCGCTCGATTATGCTGGTTACTCGTAATTCGTCACTAAGTTACATAAACGGTTTCGGTTAAAAGTGCAGATCTTGTTTTTCGAAAAAACCGTTTCGATAACTTAAGTGAGGAATTAAATCGATGATTCTGTTGTCTTCTGAACAATTTGTTCGCAAATATATACATTTTCTTAAACATATGATACTGACACACGTTTGTTTTAAAAATGTCGTGGGAATTCTGCCCACAACATGTGAAATAAGGAAAAATCGTACCTTCGATGTTCCGACATTTTGTTACCGAAACGAACCGCAAGGGTATTGGACATGGAAACTTACTTCATGTCACTTGTGTACATACTCTACATTACTTCCTGCGAAAGCTACATTGTATTTAGTTCAACAAGTTAAACCTAGTCTGGGCCTTATTTCTTATCTGACATTTCTTGTGGCCCACCCTAGGTTTAACATCCGTGCCTATTCGGCCCTTGATGCAAAAAATTTTAATGATGGCCTATGACAGCGCATGGAATTCTATGCGCGTTTTATTAATAACTGATAGTGAGAATTTGCAACCAATGAAAGCATAGCACGGAAGTTAAACCCAACCACGGCAACAAGAACACTCAGATTATAAATGAAAGCCGTGGTATTGGGTTTAACTTGTTGAACTACATTGTATTTGGATTTTGATAAGTTTCAAAATCTAACATGGCTCTCGAAGTGAGCCTCTACACAGATTCTAGCAATGGCAACAATAGTATTCTATAAACAAAGTTATTAGTAGCACACATGGTTATTTTATGGTGTTCTTTGTTCGCAACTCACCTTATGATCGACAGAATATTACGAATCTCCTCGACTTTTCAACTTTTCTTAAACCGGAAGTGGCCCTATTACCTGTGGCGACATCTGTTAAAAGTAAAAGTTGAGAAATTTAAAAGAAAATCCACGTAGACGTTTTCGCTGATTAGGCAAACCAGAGATTCATATTCTCACATTTAAATCTACATAGACAACGATAAGGTATGTCCTGAATTTATTCTGTTACATGCTGGGATAATTTTGACTACACAGACGGATAAATAGACTTTTGTGAAGTTGAGTCAGATTTGACAACCGAAGTCCAAGTGAAAAATAATTTTCGTCCGTGAGTTTGAGACTTCAGCTGGTATTCTCACAGTAAATATTCATAGATCAAATGTCGGTCCTGTCCTCTGATTTTACCATTTGACAGACACTCATAAATCCCTAATTCATCTCACTTTTAGTGCTATCATATGATCTGATATTACTCTTCGTGACCACAGTCCAGAGAAATGGGTGTGGCTTAACTTCTTATAATGTCACTATATCGTGGCCTTCATCCAAAGATAAATCCATGCATGTTTTTTTACTGCTGTATACAGGTCATGTTGTAATCATAAAATTTGAAATCGCTAACTTAGAATTTACAGCCAGTTATTAATGTCAGACAATTACGACATTTCGTCCAGTTTCTGAATATCGCCATTTTTCTTAGAGCCGTTTATTTTAATTTTAGACAAAATCCTGACAAAATCATGCAATATCTCATCAAGGAGCTCGCAAGGAGCCTAGTCAGTCCCATTTTAATTCATGATTTATTTATCTGGCGATTTTTAAATATATTTAATAAATTTATAGCACGATGGCCAGCTTTGTTCAAATGGTTCACAGTGTTCCAGATGAAATTACTTCTAGCCAAGAATTACCTAGAGACTCGAGTAAGGTGTGGCACATCATATATGATGATACATTTAATGTAAATTTTCATAGGTAATAATGATCTTGATAAAAACAGTTTTGGCTCAGCCTTATTAACATTGATGCCCTTTCCTTCTTGTTGTTCTTGTTTCAAGCCCGTCCGAAGCCCGGAGTTGGGGTTGGGGGACCCACCACCTCCCCTTTTCAGAAGTTTTCTGGAAAATTGTATTGATGCAAATATGGCTCAGTTTTGCTCACAATGCACCAGAGAGGGTCTAAAATTTTTTCCAGGGGCCCAGTCCCCCTAGCTTGCGATGCATTGGCATAGGTTCCGGGTGACTGGTAGCATAATAGAAGTGTCACGGTCCAAAAAAATTTCGATACGGTACAGAATGGTACACATGGTCGCTGGACATGGTACATTCGGGACGGGACAGAACAATAGAGAAAAACGATGCAATGTCTGATGATGGCAGTTTCACTTTTCAAAATCATATTCAGATATAAAAAACGTCAATTAAAATCTAATATAATGCATCTGCCACGAATGTGTTCGGCATTTCACATAATCTGCATTTTGCCTGTTTACTCTCAATGTAACTTTTCTCAACTGAACTCATGTGCACTTTGTATCTGTGTTTTTGACCTCTATTGATTAGCCTTAATTTTCATAAGCCTATTTGAATTCATAAAAACATTGTCATTTACTATTCAAAACAACTTACATAATTTTATATCACAATAGCATAACCCATCCAATCTCAATATTCACCCCTCCCCTGGTAAATCCTTTGGACGTCTGTGTTTGTCTCTGTTCTCTCACTTTTAATTTTCACTTATTACTCACATGTTGTTTTACTCAGCCATTTTTTGTAATGAGCCGATCTATAATTACAGAGGGGTTAAGGGGTTTGCCAGTTTTATTTCAATGGCAAATTCAGCCAGTGTTTTAAAATGTTAGCAGTATTTTAATTTATTGGACCATAAATACAGAACTAAGTTAACATTATATTTCTTACTCTGAATTCACCTTAAATAAATGCTGAAGTTTGAGTTCTATAGGTATCTGCAGAAAATGCCTAAAAATAAGATGGAAATATTTACTGAGTTTACTGAGGTAAGAAAATATTGCACTGCCATCTCAGAACATTTCAGCTTTTGAAACATTTTAGAGGTGGCGTTATACAGATGAGCACAAACGTCATTGTTAAACTTGCTTGCTACATGTAATGCTAAAACTGTATTATATTTACATTGTGCACTATTGCAAAGTCATTATGAAAATCAAAATACTCGTACAGTATTGTTTTATCAAATGAGACCACATTCATATTTTATGGAATGTTATCTTGTACTTGAGTGCAATGATATAAAACCTCTATTCATTCAGATATCAATTTCGCCCTGTCATCATGATCACCAAAATTCTCAAGATATCCAGTTATTCTCCGAGTCTATAAAGTTGCACATGTTTGATTTACTAAAGCTATCAATATTAATAAATATCTTAAAATGCATTGTCATTATATCATGATGAAGGAATGTATCTCTTCAATATAATATTAGTATACGTGCATCTATCCATAACTTTTACCTACAAGTACAGTTTTTTAAAACATTTTAGATGCTCTAACAGTGCTGGCTACTGATACGCTTCATCAGCAGTCTCACTCCTCCTGCTTTCAGATTGACAAGGAGTTACCCCAGAAATCCCTATTGCTCTCCACTCTCTCCTTCGATTTTTACAACTGATTGTTGATTTTACAGTTTCAATGTTGACATCTCAAATCTAACCAAACTTTTAATGGCATTTATGGAGGTTTAGATTTGAAATGATTTAATCTCACAGTTGGTGGAATCAAACTTTAAGAAGTTGGAAAGTGTTCATATATTTATTTCATACAGGTCAAAATCAGATTTATTAAGTAAATTATTTGTTATATAATTTTTTTCATTATACACCATTGTCATTAATCTTGGGTTGATTATTCATGGTACGTATTTTAAAGTGGAAATGAAAATATAAAACTTGGAAAGTGTTGAAAATGTTTATTTTAAATTTAAGTTGCTGAAATGTCTTCATTTATTAAAACTGAAAGAAGGTGACATGTACTTTTGAAAAACCATTGCCAAATGTCTAAATAAACTTAAAAACCTAAAGATTATCATGATAAAAGTCAAATAAAGTCAAAACTGTTGAACCTATTGTGACTTGATTCTCAGCACCATCTTTATGAGTACAAGCAAATTAGATAAAAAGCTACTCTGACATCCTTGGCTCAAGTCTTGAGCTGCTATGAAGGCACTGCTTCGATAAATCAGAGTATATTGAACCTTTAAGAAAATACATGTATCACAAGAAATGTTACATGTTGTGAAGAAAAACTATTGCAAAATTGTGACGTTAATCTTTAGTTTTCTATAGCTTTTGCTGTTTCTTTAAATTGCTTTGATCTTTGTCATTTGAATCGGTTTATTCTAATAAAGGGTGTGGTTTGTGTTAAATCTTTTCGTCACACCATAAACTTATCAATAACCTATATATTGACATTTGACTGTTTATTTAATATGTCATGACGTATGTTTCAATCATTACCAAAGGTTTGTTCAATAAGCACTTACCTAAAAAGGAAGTCACGCAAATCATCATAAAGAAATAAAAAGCTCACATAGTTCAAACAGGTATCATATTTGAATCAAGATATTTCTCTAAGACATTACATTTAGAGACTTAAACTGTACCAGAGGGATCAAATATTGGTAAGTAAACATAATATGATGAATTTTTATTTAAAGTGAAATCCTCCCCTTTAATAAACTAAAGTTGTAGTTATTCAAGTATGTTCAAGAGTGTGTTTTAACCTCATTATGTATTGTAAAGATTTACACAAATTAAAATTAGGCAGAATAATCCTTTACCGCACCCTTTCTCTCTTTAGTATGTAAGTGTTATTGAAATAGAGAGAGAGGGCTGAGTATTTACCCGTCACTTTAGACTAGCTACCTGGTAAGTTAAATCAATTGGTATATGAGATGACATGCTTAGTTTTAAGAATGAGTATACAGTAAAACCTGTTTTAGTGAACACCTCTCTCTGGTGAATACCTCTCTCTACTGAATACCTCTCTCTAGTGGACACCCCTCATCTGCACATACTTTATTGATCACTGTATAAATTACTCTCTCTGGAGTGAACACCTTCCAACACTGAACATTTTTCTTGGCAAAAAATGTTCAATATACACAGGTTATACTGTAGATCAGCAAAAACTGCCAAGTGATACTGAGTTTGACATCTTTGTAAGTGAAACACTTTTCTCAGTGCCATCAGTTGATGTTAAATTAACCTCTGTCAGTAGAGTGGCTCGTACAAATAGAACTCCTAAACTCCTTCGGATGGTTATATTTTGGGTGCAAATTTTTCTTTTCACAGTGTTTCCCAAAGTTGGTCAAAATACTCTAAGAGGACAGATCCACTCTTATGCCCAGCATAACAACAGTTCTTCTCTTATGCCCGGCATAAGAATTGAACCTATTTTGCCCAAACATCATGTTTGCTGAAGTCCGAGTCAAAGTAGGATTCCAAGATCAAATGTTGAGGTGTTTCTTATTTTCATGTTTTTGCTTTTGAGTGGCTGTAACAGTTTTTAATATCTCAAGTGATATGTACCTATCCTATACCCCCCCCCCAGTATCCATAAGAATATTAGATTTTCGTTCAAGTAGGTGTAATTAAACAAGTTATTAAACTCCACCTTGATAGATTTGATTTTTCATATACAAAGCATTTTTGAGAAATTACTCATTTATCAACATGAATTATTCTTTTAAGTGCATGGAGAACATGTGCCAATGCTTTTTAGCTGCATTGTGAATGTAGGGGTTGGGACTATGCTCTTCACAATATTAGCAATGAATCATGGTTCTTGAGGGCCCTCAACTCCCAAAAAATAATTAATTAAAATTTTATAGAATTAATTTCATTTATCTGGACAAATAACCATTGCGTTATATTCTAAACTCAGTCATTAACCTATGTTTTAACACCAATTGAACATTTTCCAAATTTTAAAATATGCTGCATACTGCAAAGCATACACTTTTAGGGTGCAGTGTGTCAGTGGTCAATCAGCTATTTAAAATAAATACTCATATTGTTTAACACAAGACTCTTGATATGTTAGCGTGATCCATAAACTTAACACACACATAATTATTAACTCAGTGTACATACCAGTATGTAAAGCTGCAGTATTACCATTGGCCAGGAAGTATAAAGAAGCATGCGGAGATTGTCATAATCCATGTTTATTTAAAGATGCTACGATTGATCAACAAATAAATACGCAGAAACAGACAGGATAATTGGATAATCAAATAAAACTTGTCAAAGCCTCATGGTATAAAATCACGCAGAAACTCATGAATTTGAAGTAAATCTTATAAGGCTACATACAGTTGTATACTTTATATAAACAGTAGTGCCACATCAACACAAATATACAATACACATCAGCAGGTGAATTTAATTTTCCGAGTTATTGAACGGTATCAAACGGGAAAGAGGAACATAAATACGGACAATTTTACTATTTTATCAACTTGATAGATATTAGGCAACATGGGACCAAGAGGAGCTCAGGATATCAGTGGAAAACCAACTTTAAGGTGAATAAAAATCATATTCATTACCCTCGATAAATTTCTCATTGTTAGCTAATTTCATTGAAAACATCAACTAAAGGGAATGTAATCATCTTAAGATTAAGACATTGGTGTTGATCAGAATAGCGAAGTACAGTAGACATATGTGTTACAAAATAACAACGTATATTAATTATGATGCAATGTTCATTTTTTTATATCGTAAATGTAAATTCACAGTCATAAAAGTCAGGGTAAGGTCTGAGTTATAGTTCAAGTTAAACTATCACACATGCTATTTATATTCATTGATTTAAAGGTATCTTGTTAGCATGTGGTAAAAGTTGGCTCAAAGTCATCTTCATGAATGCTTTCCTTTTACATGTAATTGATTGTTTTCTATATATTCAGCCAGGGATGATTAGTCCTGCATCTAGCCCCTGTGAATCCCTCTATCTAACCCCTAGCATAGGTATATTGTCTATATTGGGCATGAGACTAGATTACAAGGGGTGGAAATACAGAGGCTTAATGCATGTTTAAAGTATAAAAAAACATTACTTTATCAAGCAAGAGGCCATGTTTTAAAGATATTGTTATGTCACCTCCAGAAGTCGTGACATAGTGTTAAAGTCTTTTTTTGTGGATGTTGTTTTGGCGGTCAGTGTCTAACAAATGGCAGGTGGTGATGTTTTGCTTTGCATGTTAATGCCTTGTTTTGGTTTTTGTTATCTTTTAGTCTTTGGTCCAATGTAGGATTTGCACAGTTGTGTTTGAAGTAAGACTATTTCACTGTTCATTCAATCATGTTTTGTCATTTTTAGAGAAATGAGGAATGTATTATTAAAACTAATGATCTTTAATGAACTTGCCAATCCTAATAGAAGCAAGAAGCAAGAGCCTATCATATCCAATAGTTTGGTTTTGCCACTTTTGTTTAAAATCTAGCCATTACCTAATAAAAATACAGATACCAAAATACCATTCACTGAAATGTATCCTTTCATAAGTGCCTGACATTTATTTCATATTCTAACTCACATTAAAGGCCATGGTAGTTACCTTTGATCGTGCCAGTGTAAATTCTATTTTTCTCAATATCAGAGCCTTAATATTATTGTCATTGACCCTAGGGTACTGAAAACCTGACTTAAGTCAGAAATTGCAAGAATTTGACTTTTAGTCAAAAGTCAAGTTGATCCACTTAATGGGCATTTCAATTCCTTGTCCACACATTAATCCAGAACCTAAATATAACTACTGAAAATTTTGGTTTGAACAACAAATCACAACAAATATAAGTACTATTCATGAGGGTTAATGGTGCAGAATAACTTATGGCTAGAACACAGTTCAATGGTTTTCAGCCATTTTACTCTTCAAACTGTTCAAAGTGCCATATTATGATATGATCATGTGTTTTGTTCAGAGATGAAGCTTTCCTTGAGAGATATGAAACAACTAAGTCTCGAAAAGTGTAAATTCAATCAGATTTTAAATTTTAATTTCCACTGAGATTTCAAATCAATGATTAATTATTAAAAGTTTGATGTATGCTATAAATTATATTTATATCTGCTTCAAATATACTCCTTGCCCTTTTGCAGATTAGCATTAACATAACCATCACTCATTATGTCACCAAAAATTAGTAAGAATTTCTGTGTGACCTATTGTTGTAAAACCGCAAGTGGTAAAATCAAAGTGTTTAACTCAATAAGTAATAATGATACAATGTTTTTTAGCTCTTTTTAAAAGGAGGTGATATTAATTCTTAACTGAATCTTGACCCCCTCCCCCTCCCTAGTTAAGTCATCGAAGACTGATATTTATGTTGAAATGTCAAAATCAGAATAAGTGGCTAATGTGAGATAAACAGTTTTGGATTATAAGTGTCTCCTTACTGCATCTTTAGCTCATATTTCCTATCAAATTCACGTTTTCTTGAATAAACCTTATGTTCAAATTGTTTAAACTTATTTGAAACCATATTCCAAATATTTATATTTATTATGTTATTGTTTTGATTATTAATGAGTAGATACAAAATCTCACTGCGCTGCAATGAGATAGAATAGACTTACATGAAACTATGGCGATGCCAACACTGGACGATCTCGGGGGTGGGAGGCCAGAAAAAAGATTAGGCCCAAATTCTTTTTTGAGGCCCTATTAGTGGGCCTTTTGGCCCTTACCCTTGTTGGTGTCCAGATCAGCCCCTGTTATCTCTCCATGTTATAATTCTTCTGAAATAGTTGCAAACATGCAACATGTATAAATGTATATGTACATATATTTTAGATAATGGGATACTGTTATACCAGTATATTCCTTCCTTCATAAAATTATTAAAATAGCTTTATGGTTCAAGTAGATTATTTGGAACCCGTGTATTTGTTTTTAATCATATTTAGAAAAACCCTTATCATTGGGTATGAATCTCATTTTACCCAGAAATGTTATAATAATTTTGCACATTTTATTTGTTAACTAAATGTTGATTAATTTGATAATCTCAAACAGTTGCTAAAACAACTATTCGTTGATAGGAATTTTGTTAGAAACCAGTTCTTATCATATGTGAAGTAATTGAAAACAGACATCCTATAGTACCTATACTTTACACATTACAGGTTTATGTGATATATTATATACTAAAAATGTTTAATTGATTTATATACTAAAAATGTTTAATTGATTTATATACTACAAATGTTAATTGATTTATATACTACAAATGTTTAATTGATTTATATACTACAAATGTTTAATTGATTTATATACTAAAAATGTTTAATTGATTTATATACTACAAATGTTAATTGATTTATATACTACAAATGTTTAATTGATTTATATACTAAAAATGTTTAATTGATTTATATACTACAAATGTTAATTGATTTATATACTACAAATGTTTAATTGATTTATATAATACAAATGTTTAATTGATTTATATACTACAAATGTTTAATTGATTTATATAATACAAATTTTTAATTGATTTATATACTACAAATGTTTAATTGATTTATATAATACACATGTTTAATTAATTTATATACTACAAATGTTTAATTGCTTTTTTAACCATTCAACCAGAAAGAACATCACTCAGTCTTGCATGTTACCTGAATAACCAATTTACAAAATAATGCAACTGAAATCTACTTCCATTTCATTTTAACTACATTGTATTGATTCTGTGTATATTGTTAGGTTTAGCTTAGATTTTACACAATGATTGTGTCAAATGCGGTTATCTATACTTTAATCCAACACCATGTGCTGGTATGACAATTGCTAGAAATGTTTAAAACAAGCCAGTATGTTTTCATAAAGTTGTTTCAACCAGGAGTTACTAAAAAGGATAATTTACCCAGCTTTTTGTGAAAATTAGTACCTTATTAGGGGTTCGTTATGTTACATTATGAATTGAGGTAGGATTAATTTATATTAATGATTATTTGTTTTTAATGTGTTTTTTCTGATTGATTGGATTGTTGAGAATATTTGCTTAAACAATTGTAGTTTTTATCATATGAAAGTGATATATAATATAACATGTAAAGTTGAATATGTGAGACATAGTATCATTAATGTTCATATTTCAGAACTATTGTCAGTCTTAAAAACTGTAATTTCAATTTATACAACTGTTCTCATAAATATTTCATAAATGTACATTACATTACATTCAATACATTGTATATATAATGACATAAAATATACTCAGCCTTCATTGTAATTGATAATGTTCTGCAAAAATAAAAATAAGAATAAATAAATAAGTAAAATTTAAAGATTAAATTGAAATTGTATGAACATTTTCAAAGCATCCTTAAATTTATCATCAACAGTATATCTTAGTATTTAGATGTTTTCATTTCCTAATGAATAAATTTTTTTTTTCATTTCAGTTATTTTGATATGACACTCAAAAAGATCTGCTGTATTGGAGCTGGTTATGTCGGTGGACCAACATGTTGTGTTTTGGCGTCAAAATGTCCTGACATCACTGTGACAGTAGTTGACATCAGCGAGGCAAGAATCAAACAGTGGAACTCAGAGAAACTACCAATATTTGAGGTATTGTAATAAGCTACACCATTCTTAATACAAATTCAATATCTCAGGCAGTGGCGTAGCGTGGGTATTTTATGAGTGTACGCCACGAGTGAGCGAAGCGAACGAGCTTTGATGGTCGGGGGGGGGCCTTTTTCCCAAGAAAATTTGAAAAAATTAGATTGCATTTGAAGCGTTCTGGGGCATTTTAAAATACAAAATTCCGACTACGAAAAAATAATATGGATTAATAAAATGTTAGGTCATTACTTCAGAATATTAAACGTGGGTCATTTCAATATCAAAAATTCACTTTTCTCAAAACTTTGAGAGTATGCTATGGCGTTTTATGCGTATATGACGCTACGCCACTGTCAGGAATATGTACAGTTAAATCTGTATATCTGAACACCTCTGTAGACTGGAATCCAAACACCTGTCAATGTTAATACTTTTGTTTGGTCGCAATTTTGTTATTTCCTCTTAACTCACATATTAAGAGACTTTGAAAGGTGAACACCTGCTTATCTGAACATTTTTGACTGGTTCCAGTGGTGTTCAGATGATACTGTATCATGTAATAAAAACTATGATTCACAAATTCAAGACTTAATGTTTTGAGGCATATTTGAAAGAGAGAGTTTAATGGAGATACTCCCACAAAGCTTATCTATTAAAACAACATAAAATACATTAGATTAAAATATTGAGACATTTAAAGCCTTGGTTTATGAATTCCAATACAAGTTCTGAACAATGCTTTCATGGATTTAAAATATGGATAAAAAGATTCGATGTTTTGTCCCTTTAACATATGAGCCAGGCCACAGGAGAACTTAGGGGTCTTATCACAGATTTTTCAATATTTTGATTTTTTGTTTATCTTAAAAAGCACTAAAAGACCTTTCAAATGAGCCATGACTTATGTCTTAACAATTTTTCCTTGCATATATAGACCCAAAATTCGGATTTTAATTTAGCACATTTTCCCCTTAATCTTGGGCACATTTTTGGCTCTAGCACAATTTTAATTTTTGTGATAAGACTGGTTTTCCTACGGCCAGGCTCATATATATTAGTTGGAATCTGGTAGTTGATTATAAATTTGTAAAAATGTATTATTTAGTGGCACAATTGCCTTTCATAGTGATACAATTGCCCTTCTTAGTGAGAGTGCCCCTTTAAGACTTCAAATGTCAATGTGTTGTAAATCACGTAACTATAGCAATTGACTGTTTCATGTCCTTTGATATATTGATGACATTTCAAATGCCCTATAGAAGCTTTTTATGTATTACTTTGTATTAACACGATGCTGTTTAACTATAATCCAAAGCCCATACCAGAATACAAATTACCTATTTGCATTACCCTCAGGCTTGTAAACACATAAGAAGACCTGTTTTACTTAACTTTGTTAAGTATCTTTGTGAACCTTACAGTAATTTGCGCAAAAATGTTTTACCTGTAATAATAATTTTTTGGGTCAGATAACATGGTTGATAAAGAAAAAGTCAAAATGAAAAATAGTTTTGGTGAAGATACATTGTTGTATGTTGGCACATGTTGCTTTTAATTTTTGTCCCCTCTATAGCTCTGATGCTCCCTCTAATGCAGGATAAAAATGGTGAAATATCTCCTCTGATTCTAGCAATTTAGGGATGTCAAATTGAAAAACATTTAAATTGCACCAAAAATCATCAACATGTTTGTCCAAAAAAAAGTTCTGGGGGAGTCATTCCTGACCCCCCCCCCATTTCTAAGTTCTAAGTTGATCAACAATTTTTAAATCTAGTCTGTAGCAAGGTCATTTCCAGTTAAGAATAAATTATAATTTTACACTCTGCATGCATCTGAATACACATATATTTTACAAGCATGTAATTCTGAACGGAGATGAAATAAATCATTGGATAAGTTTATTATATTGTCTATAGCTTGATTAAAAGAAGATTTCTACTTAAATCGATAAAAGGATGTTTCTATTGTTTTAGTTAACGTTTTTTATTGATTATATTTGCTATTAACATCATCTTTGTTGACAGTATTATAGTATTGTTATCCTATATGCAAGCTTTATTGCTTGTCCGTGTATAAGTGCTGAGGTTAGCAAATCTTGATAAAACTCTAAACTAAACAATCAGTGTTATGTCACTCGTTGAAGATTGGCAACATATTATTGACCAACTCCCAAAGATATTGGTTTTAATAGTTTGCAGTCACTGACACCACAACCTATCAAAAATGTGTGAATTGATCATTTGGCATTTTGATGTGTTATTAATCTATAACTTGAATTAGTTATGAATTGATTTTTCAAAATTTTATAAAAGCTGAAGTCAAAAGAGCAGTGTTGTTTGTAATTTTAAGCTACATGTAAATGTTCAAATGGCTGTACTTCTACTTAATTTGGTGCTACTTATTTTGTTGGATTTGCTATTTTGAAAATTTGGCGGCTACTTAATTTGGCTGACTTGCAATATAACAATTACTAATGGTGCTTATTTTCTGGTACTAAAATTTCTTGGGAATTTGGCGGCTACTTATTTTTGGAGGACCATAACAATTTGACGTATCCACCAAATTAAGTGGAAGTGAAGGGTAATTCTATTAATATGCTCCAATACATGTATATTCAATTGGAAAACATTGAGTCTTTGGATTTAATCTGAAAAAGCAAAGAATTAATGTGTATCAAACCACTTGTTTATACCACTGGATGTCTCTACGTGTATATCCAATTTAAAACTAGACTTGTCTCCAAAGGAAATGCCTCCAAAAATCCGATCCCTTTTCCTACATAGATTCAAATTTTAAGCAATTGTCAATATATTTCAAATACAAGATTGCAATGACAAACACAAAAAGAATAATAAAAATCTCACAAGATCAAAACATGGCTTACCCCTGGATCAGAAATTACAACCAAATAAACCAGAATGCAAATTGTCTTGTTACCCCATATGTCGAAGTACCCCAAAGTGAAAAGATGGCATAAAAGTTCAAGCTATACCCTGACGCCTTGTCGTATGTTCTTTTTTGCAGCCTGAGTTAGATGATATAGTAAAGCAATGTAGAGGGAAGAATCTATTCTTTTCCACAGATGTGGACAAAGCAAATATGGCATCAAGGTTCTAGCTATGCCCTAACACATTTTCCTATGTTCTTTTTGCAGCCTGGGTTAGACGATATAGTAAAGCAATGTAGAGGGAAGAATCTGTTCTTTTCCACAGATGTGGACAAAGCAAATATGGCATCAAGGTTCTAGCTATGCCCTAACACATTTTCCTATGTTCTTTTTGCAGCCTGGGTTAGACGATATAGTAAAGCAATATAGAGGGAAGAGTCTATTCTTTTCCACAGATGTAGACAAAGCAAATATGGCATCAAAGTTCTAGCTATACCTTAACACATTGTCCTATGTTCTTTTTGCAGCCTGGGTTAGATGATATAGTAAAGCAATATAGAGGGAAGAGTCTATTCTTTTCCACAGATGTAGACAAAGCAAATATGGCATCAAAGTTCTAGCTATACCTTAACACATTGTCCTATGTTCTTTTTGCAGCCTGGGTTAGATGATATAGTAAAGCAATATAGAGGGAAGAGTCTATTCTTTTCCACAGATGTGGACAAAGCAAATATGGCATCAAGGTTCTAGCTATGCCCTAACATATTTTCCTATGTTCTTTTTGCAGCCTGGGTTAGACGATATAGTAAAGCAATGTAGAGGGAAGAATCTGTTCTTTTCCACAGATGTGGACAAAGCAAATATGGCATCAAGGTTCTAGCTATGCCCTAACACATTGTCCTATGTTCTTTTTTCAGCCTGGGTTAGATGATATAGTAAAGCAATGTAGAGGGAAGAATCTGTTCTTTTCCACAGATGTGGACAAAGCCATCATAGAAGCTGAGCTAATCTTCATCTCTGTCAACACACCTACCAAAACATATGGCCTGGGAAAGGTAAGTTTAAAGGGATAGGGGATATAGTTATATGGCTTGGGAAAGATAAGTTTAAGGTGATATAATTATATGGCCTGGGAAAGGTAAGTTTAAAGGGATAGGAGATTTAGTTATATGGCCTGGGAAAGGTAAGTTTAAGGGGATAAGGGATATAGTTATATGGCTTGGGAATGGTAAGTTTAAAGGGATAGGGGATATAGTTATATGGCTTGGGAATGGTAAGTTTAAAGGGATAGGGGATATAGTTATATGGCTTGGGAAAGATAAGTTTAAAGGGATAGGAGATTTAGTTATATGGCCTGGGAAAGGTAAGTTTAAGGGGATAGGAGATATAGTTATATGGCCTGGGAAAGGTAAGTTTAAGGGGATAGGGGATATAGTTATATGGCCTGGGAAAGGTAAGTTTAAAGGGATAGGAGATTTAGTTATATGGCCTGGGAAAGGTAAGTTTAAGGGGATAGGGGATATAGTTATATGGCTTGGGAATGGTAAGTTTCAAGGGATAGGGGATATAGTTATATGGCTTGGGAAAGATAAGTTTAAGGGGATTTTGGCTAACCCAAAGGTTTCTTTCTGTCCTATATTTAAAATTGTGCCAATGTATTGATTTGCAAACCCAAATGTGTCATTTTACCCTTTCAATAAACTCCTTTTCCTGTCTCTGAAAATGAATCTGATTAATCAGAACAACTTGCTTCCTGGTATGAAAATCCAGTCCTGTTTGTCTGTTTTAGTTTGAAACACTGGATAGATATTAAAGCAGCCATTTTGATTTTTGTTTGGGATTTTGTTCACCATGTTTGTTCCAATTTAAGGGATTTCATTAAAATCTAAATCATATATAGTATGAATTAATCAATCAATATTTCTCATTTAGATTCATATTCAGTTGTCATGGATGAAATCAATTTGACAAATTCAATTAGAAGTTGAAGTATGCATATCATGTCCACCTGTTAATTCAATTCACTTGCTAAATACCATATGGTCTCTAGCATGTGTATGCTGGAAATATCAATTAGTTTTAATGAGATTAAAAAATCAATAGGCATCAATTAAAAGCAATGTACTTAAAGCAGCATTGTATGGAATTAATGGTGCAATAAACCAATATGCTTTTGAATAAATACACAGCAATCGAAAAGCAATAAAAACCTTTTCATATTTTTAGAAATAATCATGATATGATTCAATAATTCATAGGAGTTGTATAAGAACTGATAAATGATATTTCAGTAAATTGAGTATACAACCATGGGAAAGTGTTGGTTGATGGCTTGTTATTTGCTCTCATTGCGCCTAAATACCAGATGAACCAATGATATTTATTATTTACATGTAAAAGGAGGTGTCTAGATTTATAGGTTTCACTGAACTATTCAAAAGTTCAATGTAATGGCATTTAAGGTTGTCATTTTCCTTTCAATAATAACATAATCTGTAGTAAACATTTTCTAGTTCACCAATACACCATGAGTACTGTTCACTCATAGTTAAATTTACATTGGAAACTTCAGTGTAGTGCAGTACCTTATTGACATAAATGAATTGGTCAAAGCTTGAAATATCATTCAAAGTGTCATACCTTTTTGACATACAGAATGCATGGTGGTATAGCATGGCGGTTACGTCAAGGCGATTTGCAAAATGTCGTAACCGTCATGCTATATCAGGGTGGAAAGAGGATTGTAAATGTGGTGTAGAGCTTAAATGAAGTTTGTTGTTGTTGTAGTCTTCCTTCATCTTTTATGACCACTCCCCTCTACAAAATTCACCTCCACAAAACAAACTTTGAATATTTTAACAAAAGTGTACAAGAAGGATATCCTTATACATGTAGCTTTAAAATGTTTGACATAGCACATATAATTCTTTGACACAAGGTTTGCAAGTGTGGCCAAGAGTTCTAAGATTGTTATTGTTGTTGTAGGGAAGAGCTGCTGACTTAAAACACCTAGAATCCTGTGCTAGAAGAATTGCAAATGTTGCCCAGAGTTCTAAGATTGTTATTGTTGTTGTAGGGAAGAGCTGCTGACTTAAAACACCTAGAATCCTGTGCTAGAAGAATTGCAAATGTGGCCAAGAGTTCTAAGATTGTTATTGTTGTTGTAGGGAAGAGCTGCTGACTTAAAACACCTAGAATCCTGTGCTAGAAGAATTGCAAATGTGGCCAAGAGTTCTAAGATTGTTATTGTTGTTGTAGGGAAGAGCTGCTGACTTAAAACACCTAGAATCCTGTGCTAGAAGAATTGCAAATGTGGCCCAGAGTTCAAAGATCGTTGTTGAGAAAAGTACAGTACCAGTCAGAGCTGCAGAGAGCATCACAAACATTCTAAAAGCTAATGTCAAACCAAATGTCAAATACCAGGTATGATATCTGCATATAAAATACATAGTGATAACGTCCCTAAATAGCACTAAATTGCACCCCTCCCCTTGATTAACCATAGCACTGGTGAATCAAGGTGAGAGATGCAGGGAAAGCGTTCGTGTTCGAGGGATTTTTATTTTATTTTGAGCCTTAAAGTGAGCCTAATATGACACTATATATTTTAAAAAACGTGTCTTTCTTGCCAAATTGGTCAAACATTTTAGATGGATAGAAAATGTGAATTTCCAGAACTGTCACTGAATACATCTAGTATAAAGCTATAAAGATAATTTTACTGGATCTCTAAGTAATAAAGCATAGGTTATTCTATTTTCAAAGAGAAGGAGAGAGTATATCAAAATTTCATATTGATCTTTTCTTGAGATATTTTATTGTAAAATGAAATGCATGATTTTTATAAGCATTCAGTCATTTAGATGTCATGTCTAAGTTCACATTAGTTGCTATGTGTTTTAATAACCCAATTCTTTATATCCCTTTATTTTCAAAATTCTTTTTTAGGTTCTCTCAAATCCTGAGTTCCTCGCTGAAGGTACCGCGATAAAGGATTTATGTAACCCCGACCGTGTCCTGATTGGTGGAGAGAGATCGGCAGCGGGACAGGAAGCAATTGAGGCCTTATGTTGGGTTTATGAACATTGGGTCAGCAAAGAGAAAGTTATCACAATGAACACATGGTCATCAGAGTTATCAAAACTAGTATGTATTGGATTGGATTTTGGTCACTGCCATATTTTACACTTGAAGACAGAGCTAGAAATCTCTCATAGGAGGAGTCCAGATTTCTTTTATGTGCATCGGTACACAGTCATAGAAGTGCAAACCCTGGCCTATTATACAAATTGTTTTCATTCAAATTTAACTCATAAATATTCATACTTAATTCACAAAACAATATAAAACATAAAAAGACTATTTATAAAATATAAACTATATAGCTCCTTTTTAGCTTGGTCAAATGTTTTTCTGAAAGGTTCAGTTGATTTATGCCTCAGTCACATTTGATCTACGGCAACCATACCACGACCCTAGATTCCCCAAAAATTCACAAGAAATATGCATAAAATAGGGATAAGCACTTCGATGTAGATTTTTGTAGATTTTTGTGTAATTACGGCCCCTGTCGAGCAAATGTTAGTTAGGCTTAAGTGATTAACCTGCCTTGAAATACTGAATTGATATTTTTCAGGCTGCTAATGCTTTCCTTGCACAAAGAATCTCAAGTATAAATGCTATGTCAGCAGTGTGTGAAGCAACAGGGGCTGATGTTTCAGAGGTCAGCTATGCAGTGGGCTCAGACACTAGGATTGGACCAAAGTTTCTACAAGCTAGTGTTGGTAAGGTCCTTTATGCTCAATCTCTAATACCATTTTTATGTCACCACCAGAAGTGGTTAAATATCGTTATTATGCACCATCTATTGTTATAGTCTCCAACTTTTTTATGGACGGTGTTTGATGGTTGGCATTCAGTGGTTGGCATGTGTAACAAATGGCAGGTTGTGACATTTTGCATATTAATGCCTTGTTTAATTTGAATTGATATAAACATACAACTACATTTCTTGTTTCAAGATAAAATAAATCATCAACATGATAAATTTTCAACTTTACATGTTCAACTTTACAGTGTTCCACTTACACAAGTTTCACTGTGTTGTCATTGCCACAGTGTCTTTTGTGACTACTGTTTGTGTCATAATGTCAGTGACTGTGTCATTTGTTTCAATTTTTCAGTCAATTATTTTCTGTCAGTCTCATATTGAAAGTATTGATTGAAATGACCTGATCCGTAAAAGTGAAATAGCAAGTTGTGGTGACATTTTGCATGTTAAAGGCTTAAACATGATTTACTTGTTCAATTTTGTGACTCGTGTTTGAGTTTGGTGATGTCAGTGTCTAATCAACAGTTGTTATACACATTTTCAGGTTGTGATATTCAATCAATCCCATCTTAAAAGTATTAATTGAATTGTTATATTTTTTAGGTTTTGGTGGAAGTTGTTTTCAGAAAGATGTGCTGAACTTAGTGTACCTTTGTGACTGTCTCAACTTACCAGAATGTGCAGCATACTGGCAGCAGGTACTGTAGTGTAGTCTACCATACACTTCTCCCAATATTGGGATGGTAAAACAATATTTTCAAACATTACATGGGGCCTTTAATGATTCTATTGTACTTCTCCCAATATTGGGATGGTTAAACAATATTTTCAAACTTTACATGGGACTTTTAATGATTCCATTACTTGGTGCAATAGTATTAGTCTATTCCATTTTGTTATTGCATTAATTGCTTGTTTTCAACAAATTCAAAAAGTGAATTTTATTTTGAGGAAGATAAAAGAGATAGGTTAGAGGTCATGTCAAATTAGAAATTTATTGCATATTTTTGTTGACTGAATATTATTCATTGATTGACTTGATCCCTAAAAGTGTCTGATATACTTTTTATGTCACAATCAAAAGTGGTGTCATTGCTATAGTCTCCAACTTTGTTGTGGACGATGTGTGTGTTACAAATGGCAGGTTGTCATGACATTTTGCATGTAAATGCCTTTTTATAGTTTATCCATGTCAAAAACTTCAAACTCTTTTATTTTTCAGGTGATTGACATGAATGAATACCAAAAACGCAGATTTGTCAACAGAATCATCGAGTGCCTGTTCAATACAGTGGCAGATAAAAAGATTGCAATGTTTGGATTTGCTTTCAAGAAAGACACTGGAGATACAAGGTGGGTTTTAACTTCTATAGTCTATTAGCATTCTGGAACATTCCCTGCATTTGCACCTACTGTATGATCTTCCATTTTGCAAGAACTTGTTTTTAGGATAAGTATGCTCAACGGCTGACACCATGAAAGGTCAAATATGTGAAAGCAGACTTTTAATTGTAACCTCTCAGTAAACAAAGCTTTAGACGTATTTTGCCTGAAGGTATAAATGGTTAAACAAATATCCTACTGAGGCAGTGGGAACATTAGTCAATTTCTCACAATTTGATTAATTGCATGTGTTTTATGATGTAATTTATTATGTTTACCCTATTCCATTTGTATGTCATCACTCATCACACGTGTTTACCCTATTCCATTTTGTATGTCATTACTATGTTTACCATTTCCCATTATGTCCTTCATCACAAGTTTACCATATTCCACTATGTCAGTTATTACATCTCTTTACCCTATTCCATGCTGTATGTCATTATATATGTTTTACAAATCACAGGGAGTCTGCCAGTATCTATTTGAGCAAGTACCTGATGGATGAAGGAGCACAGCTGAGAATATATGACCCTAAAGTGGAGGATTCCCAAATCATGAGAGATTTAACTGCTCCTAACATATCAGAGAATCCAGAGAGAGGTGGGTGACTCATGAACATTAAAGTTCTCAACTATTTCTAAATGTAAAGTATCATAGCAACCAGTATTCTAATGTAAGGTGTCTTAACATATTGTTAAAGCCTTCATTTTTGTGACTGTCGTTTGGCATGGGTCGTTAACCGAGTTTTTGTACAAATTGTATCACCGCTGCAGTGGATTAACAGTTTGTCATATTTATAAATATTCTGATTTCTATGTTTCAGTTGATAAGCTAGTGAGTCTGTTCTCAGACCCTTATAGGGCAGCAGAAGGGGCTCATGCTGTGGTTGTGTGTACAGAGTGGGACGAATTCAAGGTAAGACATTTATAATCTTTTTAAATCAAATGATCGTCCTCTGGAAAGCTGACAGCCTCATACTATATGCTCCCTCATGAGTCCTCAAGAGCAGCAATTTGTGATATATGGTATTGTAATCTTTTTAAGATTTCAGATGTATTTCATTTTGTCTTTGGCAAGAGTTCAAAATCAGTATGCCTGTAGTACATGTGCATGTACTTTTCATGTTGTAATACATGTATTTCCATCTTCGTACCACATTTCAAATACATGTATATTTCATTTTTTTTTGTAATATTGTATAATAATTGTATAATATTTTATCATTCAAACTTTCAGACTCTTGACTACCAGAGGATATACAACAACATGTTGAAACCTGCCTCAATTTTTGACGGGAGAATGATCCTCGACCACGAAGCTCTACATGATTTAGGATTCCACGTGGAAACAATTGGCAAAAAGATAACTCGGGGCAAAGTAACCAGGCAATTTCCATCAGTTTAAGGAGTTCTGATTATCGTCGATATTGGGACCATTCATCTTTCAGTGGCAATAATGATATGATATGGAAAACAATACTTAAAAGATACTATAATATTAAGAGAGACTTCAATGTCAAATGTTGAGAGACTTTCAACAAGGGAGAAAATTTAATATTAGGAGGGAATTGAATGTCAAAACTGGACTCAAAACAGCAATAGACTTCAAATTACCATGTTCACAATTTGCGCAATCAAGTATTGGAACAGCGGTTTTACAGAGAATACATATTTTATACATCGGGAATTTTTTGGATATGAAGGGAGAACTGAATATCAGACAGATGTTAATATTAAATATCATATTTTTTAAATGCAATCTTATATGGTGCAGAAGTGATTAAAGAATGAGTAAGTAAAATATGAGTAATTTTGAAACAGTGGAAGTCAGCCAATGTGGGACAGAGCAAATAGACTGGCATATTTAGTGCAGTGGTAGAGGGGCATCTCATTCCCTGTCATGTAAATGATAACTTTGCACATGCACACAGTACGGTATTCCTAGCTAGCATTGTGAACACCATTGTTACGCCATCTTTACACTACTTTTTATTTAAAAGGAATTGTAGCACAGATGGAATGTTGTATTCCCTCCATGGGGCCTCACTTTCTTATGGAGTCCCCTATATGTTGTGATAATTTAACAGTGTTCACTATTTGTGGTATTCATATCACAAAATGTGTCCATATCGTTGTGTTCACTTCATGTGGGTTCACTTCCAAGTACTACAGTCGCACTTAATGCTGTACATGTTATGCACAAAATATATTGTTTTACATGTATGTACATTCCTTTCCAATTTTGTCCATGAGTGAAGAGTACCAATATAGCTTATTATGACACCACCAGAATGTGGTGACATATTGTTATTATCTCCAAATTTTTTGTGGATAGTATTTGACGGTTGGTGTTTGTCATGTGTAACAAATGGCATGTGTGATATAGGCATAAAATGCCTTATCCTTGATATAACTCAACTGAAACAGGGATCTGAGTCACGGTATTTAAAAATCTCAATTTAATGATACAAAAGCCAAAGAACAATGTATTTATTTGTATTTTATATATGTCAATGTTCAGGTTTATAACTTTTAAGATTTTGATTACTGATCTCTCAAGGTGCTCTCAGGTGCTGTATCCTTTTGAAAATTACAAGTACATGTCATCCTTTTGAGAATTACAAGTACATGTCATCCTGTTGAAAATTACAAGTACATGCCATCATGTTGTAAATCTGTTTCTACCCTGAAAAAGGGATAAGGTTTGTAAAAATTTGGACCAAAACAGGTAAATAGAGGATAAGCACTCTGTTAAATAACAAATGGGAAGATATCTGTATTGTTAGTGCTAGCAGAAATCAAAATGAACAAGAAGCATGCAAACTTTTGCTGACAGTGTTTAAAGAAAACTTTATTTTTGTTAATTGTTTCTTTTTCTAAAGCTCTGACAACAATGCAAAATTATTAAAAAATTAGGCATATATTTAATGCCTCTTAGCATGTCCACAATGGAAAATGTAAACATAAAGTGTAAATCATGAATACCGCAAGTGTAAATTCATTAAACATAAAGTGTAAATCATGAATGCTGCAAGTGTAAATTCATTAAACATAAAGTGTAAATCATGACAATCTGAATCAATGAGTAAATGTAAATGAATGGTCAACATTCCACATGTTTTATTGCATGAAACAATATGCCAACCTTATTGTTGGTCAGCTTTGTAATTTGTCAATATTGGATTATAGATGAGCTTTGAGTAAGATAACTCCTAGATAGATGTTCAAAATCTTCACTTTTTGCTAGATGTTCATGAACATGCACACTCTACGAGGGATGATCAATAAGTAATGGATATATACTTCTTATCGACCAATGATTTTTCAATCATTCAATAATTTAGCAAATTGAATGATGTGAAAAAATCAAAGTGATTGGTTACTTAAAAGCATCTGTGTAAATGACAACCATAACTTATTGATCGCCCCTCATCTTGTTGTGTATTAGAATGTATATAAGAGGAATTTTAGTAAAACGACATTGCAGTTGGTGTGCAAGTCTTACATAATATGAATTAAATGTTTGCTTAATATGTATTTTGAATTAAAATAAGGATGTGTGCTCAAGACCCTGGACTATCTACTTTAACAACGGTGTTACAGAGCCAGGTCCAACCTCATGAAGCAAGACTATACAGCTTTAAGTCAGAAGAAGTATGACAAATTGTCAGAAATGTGTGATATAAAAATATGTGTTTTTGTTTGTACGCCTACGAGGATTTAGAGCAGATAATAGCTGATGGTACAGATTTATGTTTATATGTGTCATGTCTATATGTATGATTGTCTATGTTGCTACTATGTATGTAAAATGTTGTTCTTGGTTTAGACCCCAGGCATTATTCACTCCATTCTCACATGACAGGACATTAACTATTAACTTTTACACAGTAAAGTTTCATGTAGTTGTATCACAAGTAATTGCCTTGTAAGGTATTGATTATTTGTATTAATTGCCTTATATGGTATTGATTGTTTGTATTAATTGCCTTATATGGCATTGGTTGTTTGTATTAGTTGCCTTATATGGTATTGATTGTTTGTATTAATTGCCTTATATGGCATTGATTGTTTGTATTAATTGCCTTATATGGCATTGGTTGTTTGTATTAATTGCCTTATACAGCATTGATTGTTTGTATTAATTGCCTTATATGGCATTGATTGTTTGTATTAGTAGCTATATGGTATTGATTGTTTGTTTTCCCATACATGTACATGGTGATGCCTTCTTAAAGGGAGTATGGGTCCAAGGCCAACTCAAGGTCATGGTTAATGGACTATTTTTGTAATTGGTGGTGAAGGTCAATCATCTAAGGTCAAGGTCACTTTTGAGGTCATTGTCAAATAATGTGAATAGTGTATTATGAGTCTTTGTATCACATCTTTATACCTAATAAGGTTATCTAACTTCCCATTTAACATTGAAGGTCATTTAAAGGTCATTGTATAGGTCAGGTTCAGGTACTTGTTTAGGGACTTTGTGGTGTCCCTTGCAGGTTAATGAAGGCAAGCTGTTCACTAATGCTTTGCTGCTAAACAAAGGGGGACCAGACTCTGCTAATGTTAATATTGTACACATACATGTATAGGGTATATTATTAGAGGATCAGTAACTGCAATTCTCACCCTTGATGATATACATTTACTCATAGCTTTCATCCTCCCAAGCAGGAATCCAGAATCCGTACCTCCTTCTTCCCCCTGCTATAACCAATTTGGAAGCACCCAATTAAACTAAATCACGTGATCTAATTATATGCAATGACTTATACAGGATTTCTGTCGCAGTGTTGCGACAGCCAATCAGATTGCGAGTTCCTAATTGGGAAAATACTAACTACTTATCGCATGGGGTGAAAAGGAAGAATATTTTTCTGGATTCTGAAGCCCTGTGATCGGAGGATGATAGCTTTGGACACAAACTTTATGGGAAATTATAAAAGCTTAAAAAATTTAAAACTTAAGCAATGCTTCCAACTTTTTCAACTTTGAAAGGTGCCTAATTATTCTCTATGCAAACATTTTCTAAGCTTCAATAATAGAAAGTAAGGCTTATGTTATGTAAGATTACATATGATTATGAATTTAAAATAAACATTAAGAATATGAATTACAATTTTTAGCTCTTAAAGCTACTTTATAAACACATAGATGTTGAATGTACATAAGAGGGAAATATATATATTATATTAAGAAAACTTAACTGGCTTTGTGGTTTTGTTAAAATATACCTCTGGTGTTAAAAAAGTAGTTGCAACAGCTATTCTGAATATTAAAATTTGTATATGTCTGATTGAGCTTGACTGCTTTACAGAAGATTCTGAAATTGTTGACCCTCCTGCAAATCACCCATTTGCTTGTTACTGGTTAACAGTTTCACTATCAGGTTACTACTTAGAAAACAGCAAATCCCACCAAACATAACATACTTTTTTATGTCTTGTCATTTTGGAAATTACAGGTAAGAAACAACATGCAAAAATGAAAAATAAACAAACTCAGAATTCATTTGTAAAATATAAACAGTATACAACTTTTATTCAATATTTTAATAATATATATAATAACATCCTGAGACAAAAATATACAATCTTCAACCTTTGTGATAAACTATGCAAGATTTTCATATTTTCCAAAAAATCCAAATGGCATTAAATTGAACAATTGTTTAATTGAAATCTGAAGAAACTGCGACTTGCTGTGATTGGTCACCATTCTGGCGATCATTGCTCAATCTTCCTTTCTCATTTTCTTGTGTAAAACCATGACAACAGAGTAAATGTTTTGTTTACATTACAGTACATTGACATTAATTATGCAAGTTAAATCTTATTTTTATAGAAAACATGAAAATCCATTTAAGCGCATCACAAGGGTATTTTTTCTTTTTTAAAATGTAGCATTCATAAAAATTATTTCCACGTTTTACAAAAGTACAATTAAATTGTATTCATTCAAACATGTAATGCACTCAACAAAATGTATCATGTTAAGTTTATTCCTACAAAACATCTAGATTCTCTGTTAAAATGTATTCCCCAACTCCCAAAAGTTCTCTTAAAGAACAACATTGCATAATAATATAATATCATACGAGTCTTGTTTTACTATACATTTTGTATATCAGAACACTAGACCTTTAAAAATGTTAAAAATGGCATTGGAAAAATTACAACTGGACAGAAAACTGGTAGAAACCTTTGTAATGAATAAGGATTTTCCACTCAAACTGAATTACCAAGACATTAACCATTTATACCTTGGAATCAAAGGCTTACTATAGTTGAAAATCAAACTGGTGAAAGATAGTGTCCAATTATCAACAATCGTTGGTAATTTTTAAATATTAAAGTGTCCAGAAATTAAGTGACATATAGCACTAAGTTTATACACTAGCGGATCAGAAGAGTTGATTTTTTATATTGGTTTGTAAGCTTTGTCAATTTCAACGTTGTTTAGTTCAGTGCAATTTTGTTTCAATTGCTGGGGTAATATTACCAAAGTAAAACAATGATACTTTGAGAGTGTTTACCTGACAATTATCAGTTTATTGTTGACTGTTCACTGCCAGGTCAACAGTAAAGTCAATGTCACTTGATAATGTTGATGTACATTAATACCCAGAATGATCACATAGGGCGCTATATCACATTGCCAATAGAATAATTGTTTTGTTACAGTTTATTATGAATATAACAGCTTGTAGGAACATACTGTAGCTGTGGGACCAGATTCTTTTCAACATGTTCAAAATGGTCCATTTCCTCCATGTATATACATGTACACTAAATAAATTGATATTCAACATCTACAATGTATTGCTTATGGTCCTTTGCATCTTCAACAATGAAACTTATGTGGTCACACTACGTTTAATATCAAAACACAAACACTTTCAACATCTTTCTGGCTTAGCTTTTATGCTGGATGGGTGATTTTTTATAGTTGATCAATGCCTGGACGAGTATTTTCAGACACTTTAAAGTGAAAAACCACTTAACTAAAATTTCATTATAATCACAGATGTCAAAAAAAATTAGACTTTATTTTTACCACAACGGTACCGTTGATAATTGAACCCCATCCCCAAGAAAGTAGTATTGAACTGCGCTGCTAAACTGTTAAACCATGCCCCCCCTCCCCTCATCCCACTCTTTGCTTGTGCCTACTTCACATATAGCACCCCTACTGATTCCTTAACTTTGTGGCCTTCTATTCTACCCCTTTATGCCTACATTTTAGTTAAGGACTGTTAAACTATAGACATCTTAATATATTAATTAAAGTTATATGTACCTAAATACATTAATGACTGCATTCCGGATGCAATCATATATTAATGTAATAATATATTAAAATCCAGTTATACAAAGTTATTAAGTATAGACAAAATTAATACATCTTGTAGAATAATGTACAGATATAGAATACATATTGTACAGATCTGTATAAAGTGTACAGATACTGAATAAATTCTGTACAGATATCATGTACAGATAGAAAGTATTCATTATGTACATGTATAATGTACAAATACATGATACATATTGTAAATGTATAATGTACAGATACACAATACACATTGTACATGTATTTAATGTACAAATGTATGTACATGAAAAATACTGTACATGTATAACATACAGATTCATAATACATTTTGTACATGTATACAATGTACTGATATATGAAACATATTGTACATTATACATATTGTACATGTGCATGATATACAAATACATGCTGTACATGAATATTACCAAAGGTAATTGAAACACATTCCAATATTCAAACCTAATTCAACACATTATAAATAATATTTTTCATACAAAAACACTTTTTAACAAAACTAGTTGCTAACTTCCAACATTCTGAAAACCATTATTGCTTTAATAATTCACTAAGAAAACTATTTTATAAAACTAGAAAAATTCTCATCTGATGAAGAAACATTTCATTCTAATCTATGTACATAATTAAATTACATGTTCCATGAAACTATATATTACTCTACTTTCAAACTAAAATCTTTTTTTAAATAAAGTTATCAAATATATTAGTACACAATAAACAATTACAGACTACAAAATATTAAAACAACTTAAATTCAAATACATGTATGTTAACAAAAAAATGTATCTCTTTTTACATCATCTACTCAGAAACGATACTCAGATCGTATTTTTCATATCTTCTCGATGTCTGATATATTTTTTTAGATTATTCTGCTATCTCACAGAAAGCAACTTTTCAGTTCCAGTAATTAGTGAAAATACTAGTATGTTCCTGTAGTGTGAAACAGTCAGTTGGTACATGTTATAAACCAAGGTTGCAAGTCATATGCATTCAATGATATGTTCAATGTTCTATGCATTCAAATACATGTCTTCATGTCCCTATTTCCTATTTCTAGCTCTTCCTAGATCTTGTGGTTATTGCAGTTACAAGATAATCCAAGTTTGTCTTCACAAATGTTGAACTCTTTCATCTTAAAGCTGCTTGTTACATGTTAAATTACAATGAATCCATGACATGACAAGTCTGGCCCACTGTGTGATATAATCCACACAACTCACCCCTGTGTGAATGATCTGCCTCACAAGGCACTGTTGATTATTTTTAGCCTCCACTTCAAATAAATGTGATTCCAATAGAATCGCCCATCACAATTGCACCATATATTTCTGGTTTGGCAAGTCACATTTCTGACATTTCGCTCTCCAGGCATAGCTTCAGATAATACTCCCTGCAGAAGCAACTTCTGTCCGTATTTGGAGGAGAATATGGTAGTTTAAGTCTCAAGAGCTGGTGCTACGAGAGAGCTAAGATAACTCCATTAATCTCAAGGCAATGATCTCATATCGTGATCATGAAATACCCAGATAGAGGGCACCACCTGCTAATCCCTCGAATAATCCATAAATAATGGACCACCAATCAAATCACTCAGATCTTTTTACTGTCCTTTAGTGATGAGGAATTAGGACTCTTTGGTGACGTGTCAGGATCTCCAGTTTTATCCGCACTTTTTTGTTTCGGTTTTTTGACACGTTTTATTGTCGCCATCTTTACTTCTTCCTCCGAGTCTGACGAAAGCTCACTCGGAATCACCGGTATACTCATGTTCACAGTTGTAAAGAAGGCCATCTTTTCTCTAGAAAAATAAAACAAACTTTTTTGAATAAAACAACTTGGTTGACAGATTTTCATATATCATAATATCCTGATTATTTCATTACAACTACATGTATAAATCATGTTCTCTATTTCAAATTGCATTGTTTTTCAGTTACAGTATGTGTAATTAGCTTTTAACATCTGAATTTTTTATAAAACAAACAAACATATTTTGACAATGAACACTGATGGTTGTATTCTACTTATACTTCTTTTAACTATCCTATAAGGACACTATTTTGCAAGAGGGACATATCATTAGATGTCTCGTTTAAAAACATGCTCAAAATCATTCCTTCTGCAAGGTAACAAAATAGTAAAGTTGTATATGGTACAATTGATGATCAGGTGACCAGGTCACATGTTTTGATGACCAACTAGATCATTTACTCGTTATGTGTGCTCAAAACTTCATTAATAAATATCATTGAAACAAGCATGCTATTTTATTCAATTATTATGTTCTCAAAAATGCAATATCACAAGCATTCTCAAAAATGCAATATTACAAGCAATCTCAAAAATGCAAAATCACAAACATTCTCAAAAATGCAATATTACAAGCATTCTCAAAAAAATGCAATGTAACAAGCATTCTCAAAAATGCAAAATCACAAACATTCTCAAAAATGCAATATTACAAGCAATCTCAAAAATGCAATGTAACAAGCATTCTCAAAAATGCAAAATCACAAACATTCTCAAAAATGCAATATAACAAGCATTCTCAAAAATGCAATATTACAAGCATTCTCAAAATGCAACATTACAAGCATTCTCTAAAATGCAATATCACGAGCATTCTCAAAAAAAAACAATATCACATGCATTCTCAAAAATGCAATATCACAAGTGCAACATAATACTGAATTTGGATTCAGAACAATGGTGGGTTATCAATACCATAATGCACCACAGTAAAGGAGTTCTTAGCAATATAATGAGGAACTGATCTCTTCAAACAAGAACCTTGAATATTAACAACTTAGATATTAACTATGATGGCATGGTCAATATGGTTTAATAAATGGTCCACTTCATAAAGCATACCACATAGGGTGTCCCAGAATTATTTTAACATTTGGGATTCTGGGTCACCCTGTAACATTTAGTAATCTACGGATGTTTGGAGGGGAAACATAAAATAATGCACAAAACAACTTAAAATAAATAATGCACATCGATTATTAAAATAATGCACATTTATTATTAAAATAATGCATATTTATTAACATAAAAAACACACAAAGCCCTAACAGTCCCATAGTGCATTTAACAAACTCAGGCATTATGGGATATCTCAACTCTTTTGTTGAACAACATGCGGAACTAACATGATACTTAAAGAAATAACCAAATCATACCTCTGAGTTCTGAAGAGGGCAACAAAAGAAAATGCATTTAATCATTGCTCGGAAACAGATTGGTGTTATACTGACAGAATTTTTTAATAATACTAATGAACTAGACCTTGTCCAATTTCAAATCTCAAAATAAATAACTAATTTTATGCAAGTTATCTTATGATTATGTACATTTATTCATGTATCTATTTATTAAATGATCAAGACAAATTTCTTCCATTTGGGGTGAATCTTTTTAAAATGAGGCAACTTGATCCACATTGGGTGACTCACCTAAATGACATGACGTCTGGTTCACGTTTCTGATGTTTCCTTAGCTTATAGACTTCCTTAGTGACCTTTCTCAGCAAAGCTTCTGCCTTTCTTTCTTCTCTACTGAGATTACCAGAATCTTTGTTGAACTGAAAAAGGAAATATCACCACATAAGCTTGTGACAACCCAATTTAAAATATGATGTATCATTTTTTAAGCTACACAGAATCAAGTTTAGTTGTACATCCAACCACCTCCGCACAGACTCATTCCCATAAGCACAGGAAGACGCAATATAGCACTTTTTTAAAGTGCAACTAAAATGATATTGAATCATTGGAATAATATGACCCATACTTAATTTTTCCAATGGTGTATACTGTTCAGAAGGATATTTACAGTTTAAAGTGATACTTATAAGAACAATGATGATCTTACCATTCTCCTAGCATCTGCCAGTAGCTTCTGCCATTCATCACTATCAGTGAACCAGGCAGGCAGTTCTTGGTCTCCATGCTGGGCCTCTTCTATGACTCTTTTCACTTCCTTCAGCTTGGCTATCTCTTCATGTAGGTAGGCAAGCTTTGTTTGTGAAGCCTGTAGGTCTAGCTCCAAGTCCATGGAGGTCTTCATGTTAGGACCACGTTCTACTACTGTTGGCTGTTGGTGCTTATTGTGGGGGGACGGCGACTACAATTCACATTTGTAAAATTGTTGAAACATATTAATTTTCTGAAAGTTGTCAAACTGCTAAACAGTTATGAGTATGTAAAATAGTCAATCTGAACATGGGCAGACCTCTCTCGAAAAACCAAATATTGAGGTTTTTTAAGGAGTTATAAAATGATCTTATTCCAAATTACATGAACTTGACATTTTATGAACTTGGCATTTTTATGAACTTAACATATCATGAACTTGGCATTTGTAGCCTTAGTATTCAAAGCTACACTAAACCAAAAGGTATTATCATCAAAATGGTACAGGTATATGACAATAGTCTAAAGGTGGATCACCTACCTTCTTCCATCTCAAACTTCGCCTCTCGAATGAGTTTCTCTGGAAGGATCCACCACGTCTGAATGTTGGCACAGAACTATCACTGTCACTGCGGTTCAACTAAAACAACAATAAGATTCAATTAATTTCAATTAACATGGAATTATGAGGGATGACATCACATTCCGTTGATGACATCCTGTATATTTCAAGCCTGCGATATCTTAAACTTATTTATTGGAATACACTTGCATTCAAACAAATTAATAAAACAGTAAATTTTCTTTACTGTAATGATTTTCTTACATATTTTCAAAATCATTTTCTTTATTATAATTGAATGATTTTCTCCCCAATTTCCTTGATATTTTCAAAGTTGAAACTGAAATAATGCAATATGACATGTACACCACATACCTTGCATATGTAATCACTGTTTTCCTGTTCTTTGCTTTTTACCATATCTTTGACACTTCTCAGACCCTTGTACTCCCCCTCTGTGTTAACACCCGCCTCACAGGTGGCAGTCTTCACTAGGGTATCACTGGGAGATCCATGCTGCGCCTCAAGTTCATCATAATCTGTGCCACGCTCAGTTGTGTCACTCTGGATGAAGTCATCTGTTGAAAGACCTGGTGTTTCGTCGTCAACGTCTTCTTCTTGGCTCTCACTAGAGATTTCTTCAGGCCCATTTTGATTGCCATGTTTTATCATATCTTCTGGCCCTATAAATGTAAAAGAAATTAAACTTGTCAAACATGATTTATAAAGTCAACAAGGACACAAATAAACAAGGCATTAACATGCAAAATGTCATCAACTGCCATTTGTTAGAGATGACGAACACCAACCACCGATCACCAATGCTTAAACACCATCGGCAAAAAAGAATATAACAATATGTTACGAAAGGGTGCAATGAAATCATATCAAAATTCTTGAGAAGACAGGATGCTGAACATAAAAGATATGAATTCCAAGTACCTTGATTCCTGGTGAGAGTTGAAGTTTGTGATGATATGATCGTAGATTCATCACTACTCTCTTCCCTCATTGACAACACAGCTGCATGGGTACCTCTAATTGCCCCAGAATCAAGTGACGATGAGCGATGACGTTCTTTAGACAGAGGCCTCTCTTTAATGGAAGACTTACGTAATCTAGCAGATGTTCCTTCTAGAAGTTTCTTTACTTTTTTCTCATCTTCCTGCGTCTGAAACAAATGAGGGGGCATATCAAAGAAGTGTTTCAAGGGGACATCTCAAATAAATGTGGTAAGGAGCATCATAATTAATGTTTGAAAGTGGGATGATTCAAATAATTGTGTCTTGGGGAAATTCTCTAATAAAGGTGTCATTTTAAATAAATATCTAAAGGGAGGCTTTTGAAATAAATGTTTTACAGGACTTTCTGAAAGAAGTAATTATAATCATAAATAAATATTTCCTATCGCAATATGATGATAGGGAAGGGTTTTCGGAAAAGATCGACCCCACCGACCACCGACCGGTCGGTGTTTTCCACTGGTAGCCTCAAAACAGGGTTTGAAGAAAATGTGTAAAAGACCGACCATATAATGTAAAAGACCAAACATATTTGTAGCCTTAGAATATTAATAATTTGATTTTGAATGTCAATCGTTGGACTAGGCAACGTTTTTTACCGATTTTGTACCTTGCAACGAATGGCAAGCAAACAAATTGGTCATGACCGTCTCCTCTCGATTAATTGCCCTGCCTTAGGTCCTAACCTATCATTAACCAACCTATCGTTTCTACGGGAATCTATCCTAATTTTTTACTGAAATTTAACAATTTCGAAACAAAAATGATTTGTTATCGTCATAGCCTACTGAATACTGAACACGATATAATGTTAAATGCGTTCTCTTATTGGGATTAAAAGTGACTTACCATTTCAGTACACCATTAGAAAGCTTTTTTTTGTCATATCAAATGTAGTTTTTACCAGTTGACGTTTAACAACTGAGAAATCAAACATAACGTTACGACGTCAACATCGACGATATTTGTGTGTTTTTGTTATTGCGTTTCATCCCCTTTCATATGAATGAAGAATGAACTTAATGCAATGTTACGTGCGTTTTTTTCCAAAGTGACTAACCAGGATGAAATTGGTCTTCTAACAACTGAAACATCACTTAAAAATATGACATTACACACCACGACGATGTAACGTTTTCATCGTGATTTGAAATGATAATTATACGTTTTTAAATCACGACCTAGTAAAGGTACTATAGTCATTGGATTCCCAGTTTTAGTTTTACTTAATTTTGCATTTTTTCATCTTTATGTAAAAGACCGTCAGCCGACCACCGACCACATGTACCCAACTGTGGAGAGTGACTGGTCGGTGGTCGGCGGTCGGTGTTTTACGAAAACCCGATAGGGAATATTTCCAATAAATGATTCAAGGGGATATCTAAAAAGATTCATTACTTTAAAAAGATTCTTACCACAGACACATTTTCTGGCACATCTGGAGATGGTATTTTTGGCAGCTTAGTCTTTCTTGAAGGAGTCACATCAGCTTGCATAAACTTAAAGCTAAGCACATTGTACCATTTGATAGACACTGTCTTTGGATCAAAATCTGCAAGGCTGACTTGAACACAACCCTGGAAAATAAATGCATATGACTAGATCAACATAAACCGTTTTAAAACAAAAGTGACATCATTTGTATAATGGACACTGGTTGACAGACATTATAACAAATTTACCAAACTTATGATATATTTATTTGGAAATATGAGTGTTCCATTTTTGGACCACTTTGTAGATTAGATAGACATTGATATCATTAGCAAGAGATGTAGTATGAATCATTATTTCAGGTGTTTTGGCAACGTAATTTAACTTTTTTTATAATTTAGATTATTACAGCAGGAAATTAAATTTGATATATCTATAACAAAATAAAATGTCACGGGATATAGAACAATGTGATTTAGTTCGGTTCCTGTCCTGATGTATATCAATCAGGGCAGGAGACAGAACAAAACTTACCAAGTGCTCCTCCTGGTTTAGATGATTACGGCACCATATATTGACTTGTAAAGTTTTAGAACACAATTTATTTTCCAATATTTGGAGTTTAAAAAGTTCATTCCATTTTGGCGAGTTCAGATTGCTTGATGGTTTTGTACATAAGGCTTGACTTAGTGGGCTAGGTAGAAGGCTAGTTTTTATCATCCTGAAAAAGAAAGTATGTTATATTTTATTTAAATATATAACTCACCATAATAACATGTACATCAAATTGGATCTGTTTTAATACAGTGAGAGCCTCCAAAATTTAATGGATTTAAAAGAATGATATCTTTCCTGCAAAAAGTTATACCGATTTAAGTTATAAAACCCATTAAGTTTAGATTTTCAAAATAAAAAAACACTCACACCATGCCCCATTAAAGTGTTAGAATTACGAAACAAAAGTGCATGAGTATATATGGATCTTTATTTTTAATATACTTACACAAGGGATCGTTCTGGTATGGCCAGGGCAGCAAGATTCCTTGCCTGTTCAACTCCAATATGAAGCTGTCCTTCAACTCCCTCATATTTTAACTTAATTTGAATCTGGGCAGACTCTAGATCTTTTTCTGGGAGTCCATCTTCATCCATTCTGTAACATTAAACAATATAATTACTTCGGCTCCTGTCCTGATGTATGCCATCAGGGCAGGAGCTGCAGTATGTCAATAACTTTGAACAATATGATTTACTTAAGCTCCTGTCCTGATGTTATAGTTACAGTTATAGCATCATAACATGGGAGTATCTTTAAAAATATTACAAATGGTTCAAAAATCCTTGTGAATATACTTTCTTGTGGAGACACTAATATTTTAAAAGGTATTGTGCCGATTTTTACCTTTTTACACTGGCCTCAAAAACTCCACTATCCCCAGCAACACTCTCATCTGACACAGCTGCGGAAACACTCCGTGTATTCACTCCTGAGAGATTATTGCACACTCCCGAGCTTGACTCACTTATTGGGCTCAATGGTGGCTCTCCAGTCTCCGTGACAACAGCATGTTGACGATTGTTTATATTTTCTAAAATAGGGGTTGCACTAGAGTCTAAAGGTAAATGAGGTATTCTTTGTTTACTAGTGGGGCTATAGTTTGTATTTGTTTGGGGTGGGTTTTTATATACATTGGGTGATTGTTCATGAATAGGTGGTGCCCCCTGTGGGTGCCCAGCTATCACTTGTTGTAAATGTTGTTCATAGGATGGGGGTGCCCCAATCCCAATATCATATTGCTGTGAAGAAATTGGAAGACTTGTGGGTGTCGTCTGCTGAACTGCCTCAGGGGATTCTGGGATAGATCCAGTGGCTCCATCTATATTTATATCAGTTATTGCTAGGTTTTGAAATGAGTTGTTCAGTGACACTGTAGGTGACACTGCCTCTGGTATTGTACTAATACTGTTATGCCCTTTCATAATCTGGTTCACCCAGCTGTGAAGGTCATGTAGATTATTGTTCTCATTGTTTGGGTATTGCGATGTGCCATAAATATCCGTGAGAGACAATGAGTTCAGAGATCCCTTACTACTGGCTGATAGTGATCCTAGGGATCCAAGAGATCCACGACTTGATCCCGATGATAAAGTACTTTGAGAGAGACTGAAATAAGAGAAAATATAGATAGAGATTGTCTGTAGATTTACTGAAACAAAATCATTTTCAGTAATTAATTGAATGAAAAAACTAAATTTAAGTAAAAATATACATAAAATCATATTCAATTTGGTGAGAGCATTCTCATGATTTTTCCCCTAACTGGAATCAAAAACCTCATTTTCACAATCCTAACCAAAAATGGTCAAAATATGCCTCTTTTCATGATTTTTTCTCATTTTCAAGTGGGAGCAAATGAGTTTCCAAATGGGTACAATCACATATTAAATTAAAAATATCAGGATGGTGTAGCGCCTACATATTTCATTACTCTGAAGTTCACGTGACAATTTCTTAGTACATGTACTACCTTCTGAGTTTGCTCTCAAGCCGTGCTGTTTCTTTAGTCGCTTCAATCAACTGTTCAATACACAATGTTCTCTCATCTTGAAGCTTAATACGCTCAGCAATCTGACGATTTGATATTTCCATTGCCTCTGCTAATTCTTTTTGCAATTGTCTTATTTGTTCATTTGTTTCTACAATTTCAGCTTCTGAGCGTCCTTTAGTTCGCACTATACTCCTTAGTTCTCGTAAAAGTTGTTCTTTTTCTTGTATGAGTAATAACCTGAAAACCATTATTTAATCAACCCTTTTGTCCAAAACATCGATAAAAAGTCACGCCATACTCGTAAATGCAAGAATTTATACAAAATTAAATAATGGATTAAGTCAAACACTGTTACATATCATTTTCAGAAAATTACATTGAATTGAAAACAGACAATGTTAAGATCATACAAAGATGGTTCCATTACGATTCCTGTATATTTATAGAATATCATTCTTTATTTTACATTTTTCAAGGTTTCTTTATACCTATCCTTATCTGACTCAGTTTGACCAGGAACCATGTGATCCTCAACGCTAGATAAGTTACGCTGTATCGTAGTAATACGTTTCCTCGCCTCATCATATTGCAGCCTCATTCTGGCCATCTCGGCAAGACGTGCACCTGTGTTGTACTGAAACACATTAAAACTTAATCACTCGACTTGTGTCACTCACTCAATGTCAACTTTTATATGGATCACTTAGAAATAAAAAAATGATCAGAATATAGCCCCCCCAAAGGATTCTATTAAAAGAATAATTCTGACATGAGAAAGCCCTTTCAATAGACAGACTTATTCTGTACTTATTCATTTTAAAATACTAATAAAACTTTGTAAATTTTTAATCGAGGCTGGGCAAAAAATGTACGTATATAAATGTTATTTTAATGTTTGTTACTGTATTAGTTAAGTTTGTTTTTTGTACTCAGTATACCCTATTAGGGGTGAATTGAGAAATCAATAAATAAAAAAATACATACAACTTAATTCCTTTAATAAATCTTTGACTCTATTATATAACATACCTCTCCAGTAAGGTCAGTCTGTGACTCTGTGCTGATAATCTCATGTGGAATAGACAACAATGAAAGATCGGGTGAAGAACCCTCCGTCACCAACCTCAGAGGCATATCATCCTTCAGTTTTGCAAGGGATTGGATCAAATTCTGCTTCTCTCGCTCGCCAGAAGAGAGAGATTGTTGAATATTGCGAATCTCTTGCATTATTGCCTGTGCCTCCTGCAGGTTATAGCCACCAGGCTGTCCTGCCATCTTGCTGTCAATCCTGGAAAAAGCATGACTCTTTTACTTCGGCTCCTGCCCTGATGTAATCCAACGGGACAGGAGCCGAAGTAAAATTATTCCAGGTAATCCAAGAAGTTGCATCACCTAAAATATTTTAACTTAAAACTAAAATATTTTTCATTATGAGTGATTTCTTGCATTTTGCACAATAGCAAAATTGTATCCTGAGGAGTTTGTTAATTTCCTGATGAGATCGCAGTCCCATTCCCCCTCCGTACTCTTCTAATTCCCCTGAATAGAGATGACCTGATAATTGACATGCAAAAACTTAATTAAGACCTTCTTGTGTTGAAAACAGCAAGCAATTTATTACAGTGCAATAAAAATCAGAATATCAGTGTACTCTTGGGACCACAAACAGAGGTTCATTATAGTTAAAATGCTGCAGGACTTTTAAACAATGTTCCATTATGAAGTGTTGCATTTATACAGGTGTACAACTGTACTTACTGAGTGAGTGTCTCCACTCCTCTCTCTTTGTAGGACATCTCAGTGCGGATCTGTTGTAATTCTCCCCGGAGACGAGCGATACGTTTCTTAGCCAGATGTACATCTGCTTTTAGCAAGTCTGGGTCATACTTCGTACTTCCTACACTTGAGGTGGAGTTGACTGAAATCAGAATATCAATGATATCAGACAGGCATTAGCACCGTATAGTGTTATCACAAGGAAAACTGTAACAATAGTTACAGATGATAAACTTAGCATTTAGTAACACTACCTGTAAAAGTGTAACAATAGTTACAGATGATAAAGTAGCACTACCTATAAAAGTGTAACAATAGTTACAGATGATAAGCTTAGCATTTAGTTACACTACCTGTAAAAGTGTAACAATAGTTACAGATGATAAGCTTAGCAAAGTAACACTAACCTATAAAAGTGTAACAATAGTTACAGATGATAAGCTTAGCATTTAGTTACACTACCTGTAAAAGTGTAACAATAGTTACAGATGATAAGCTTAGCATTTAGTAACACTACCTGTAAAAGTGTAACAATAGTTACAGATGATAAACTTAGCAAAGTAGCACTACCTATAAAAGTGTAACAATAGTTACAGATGATAAGCTTAGCATTTAGTTACACTACCTGTAAAAGTGTAACAATAGTTACAGATGATAAGCTTAGCAAAGTAACACTACCTATAAAAGTGTAACAATAGTTACAGATGATAAGTTTAGCATTTAGTTACACTACCTGTAAAAGTGTAACAATAGTGATGACTTAGCTAATGGGGAACCCTGACGAAGAAAGCTGATCATGCAAAAATGGTGATATCTAAAAAATTATCGAAAATAAGTAGTGAATCTTATTTCAGAGAGGTCACCAGGTTCCACCACTCAGTATTGCCTCATAGAGAACAATGATTTGTAGGAAAGCAATATATCTTAAATATAACATGTAGTATTGTACTTACGACTGCTTGATGATGTTGTCTTCCAGCCACTGTGCACTAATGTCTCATTCAAATGCTGATACTCATCCTTGGCTAACTCCAATCTTTGTTGTTTAACTGAGTAGATATCTCTCTTAGTCTACAAAGTAATAATAAATAGCTTTCAAAATATTCAAAGTTTTTAAAAATTGATTTAGATCCATTTTCCAATGTATGACTCTATTTAGTATCCATTCAACCAATTTTGAAATCAAGTGACTTTTGTCAGTTTTCCCTATGCCATAAATGGTATCTTGCCAACAAAAACCCCTATTGCCATCTATTATCAATCTATATAGCATGTCATCTATGGAAATATTGTAGATAATGGGCACTTTTGTGGCTAAACAATGTTTTAGGAAATAAACCTTTACAATTGGGGAGTATCATGTGTAAGGACATACTCCAGTATACAAAAATGCCATTATGCAAAAGCAAACTAAAAATAAGTAATAACAATTCTTGCTTCCCACATAACATGAGCATCAAAACAAAATATATATCAAATGTGCTAATTATTATTAGAAGACATGAATGCTTGACAGTATTAACAAGTAGAAACTGTATTTTGTGATTACATGCCAAATTCAAGCCATATCCCAAGATGTGCCATTTTAAGGCATATGAACATGTCATATATATTACATGAAGTTCCTTGGATTAAAATTAAAATATCCACATTCCTTTTATACTGTGTGCCTGTATGCCTTATTTTACACCTGTATGCTTTCTTTATCATTGCATTAACCCTCCTATGCTTATCTTATTTTAGTTCATACGTGTATTCTTATTTACTATTATATGCCTTATTCACCATTGTATGCCTTAATTAACCCCCATATGCCTAATTCTACCCTTGTATGCCTTATTTACCCCAATATGCCTAAATTAACCCCTATATGCTTAATTTTACTCTCGTATGTCTTATTTACCCCGTATGCCTTAATTAACCCCTATATGCCTAATTTTACCCTTGTATGCCTTATTTACCCCAGTTTGTCTTAATTGTCCCCTATATGCCTAATTTTACCCTTGTATGCCTTATTTACCCCAGTTTGCCTTACCTCCAGATCTTCGTGTGCTGTACTGAGATATTCCTTCAACATGTCCTGCTGTTTGGCCCTCCATTGCAACCTGGGGTCCTCCAACTGGTTCACCTCTGAAAATATATTATGACATTAATATTATAAAAACAAACACAGCATTTGACCAAAATGCCTTTTGTTTTGAGGATATTCAGAAATCAAAGATACAAGGACAGTATTCCCAATAAAAATGGTAAGATTCTCTGCCATTTTTTTCAGTTTTATCTCTGGACAAGTTTTATTAAAGTAACGTACCCCTGATCGGTGTCTTACTTTTTGCATATTAGTATCTAAATGATATCAAAATATTCTCCAGTCTTGATATGATGTTTAGTTTAGACATATGGACTTACTGGTAGCATGGTTTGTGTAGTAGTATATGCCAAGTCTAGGGTCATACATCTCTTCCCAACCATAGGGCAATTCATCCCCCTCACAGTCAGCAAATGTTTTTGGCTTGGTGTAACTGAAATCAAAGAATACATCATTTTAGTACAGTACTTCTGCATGTTAATTGCCTATTTCATCAAATGTCATGGCTCTGTTTTTAGATGTTGTACAAGGGTCTGGAATATATTTGTTGGTTAATAATGTGAATATTGCTTGCAATTTTGTCACCTGGCCTCATTACAGGTTCTACAGACTTATCACATCAAACCCTGAACAATGACCGCTGAACGCCATCCACAAAATGGTTGGAGACTATAACAATATGTCACCGCTTGTGGTGGTAATGTAAAAATATGTCACAGCTAGTGGTGGTAACGTATAAATATATCACCGCTTGTGGTGGTAACACATAAATATGTCACCGCTTGTGGTGGTAACATAAAAATATGTCACCACTTGTGGTGGTAACATATAAATATGTCACCGCTTGTGGTGGTAACATATAAATATGTCACCGTTTGTGGTGGTAACATATAAATATGTCACCGCTTGTGGTGGTAACATATAAATATGTCACCGCTTGTGGTGGTAACATAAATATGTCACCGCTTGTGGTGGTAACATATAAATATGTCACCGCTTGTGGTGGTAACATATAAATATGTCACCGCTTGTGGTGGTAACATAAATATGTCACCGCTTGGGGTGGTAACATAAATATGTCACCGCTTGTGTTGGTAACATATAAATATGTCACCGCTTGTTGTAGTTACATAAAAATCAGGATTCATTTGTTTAGTAAGCATTCCTATTGTTACCCTTTTCAATTGACGAGATGCTTAATCTTAATTTACGTCATTAAAAATTACATCTACTTATGTGGTTTTAAATTTTAATTTAAAAAAATATTAATTCTAGGTAGGGGAGATAGGCCATAGACCTTAGGCCCCATGTTGTAAAATCACAAAAAGTGAAATATATTTTCTTGTATTTAACAGATATTTTTCTTTTACTGGACATACCGTATTCTCTGTAATTAGCGCCCAGGGCGTTTAGAAAATTGAAAATACATTATTTAGACCATTCTAATAAGTGCCCATGTATGAAAGAAATCAGAAATCCCGAGGAATTTCATGTATGGCAATTTTTCTTAACAAGAATGCATTTTCTTCAACATATTTTTATAATAATATGACAAGTGCTGTTATTGGAGAGAATACGGTAAAGATCGCTTAGACAATATTGACAGTGGTTGAAGACCCGTCTATGTCTAATTTATTTCCGGCACGCCCACTTTGTCATTATCGCCGATTACCTTCAATATTTCCACTAGAGACTGCTGGATATCGATCTAAAGTTATACATTATTTCTAATTTGATGAGAGATCATCATTATTCGTGCAAAAGTCGTGTAAAAGTCGAGAAACATTAAAAAGAAACCAGAAAGTTCACGACCTTGACATGCGCAGAACATCTGCGTAGTAGCTTTTGAAATTTCTGAATGCCGATAAAGAACAATTCCTTCATTCATTATGGACTATTTGGAGACAATATTAGCATGCATGGTATGGTGCGGGAAGCACCCATCGATAGATATGTATCGAGAGGATGCATAGAATTACAAAACGCGTCATGTTTACAGCAGTTTTAGGGTAAGTACTCTATTATCGCCCGCTCCTGGATTTTGAGAAATATTTTTTTCCTGATATATTCTTCAATTCTTGTTGATTCCTCGATGTTTCTTGAACTTTGTGAAGCGGGGTGGGCGCTTATTAGAGAGTGGGCGGTAATTACAGAGAATACGGTATTTTAATTTGTGTAACAACAGATACATAAGGGTAATATGAGAAGTTAACCACTAAAACATCAATATTCAAATTTAAGGGAACTTTGTAGTAATACCCTGCCATGTTATTTCCCCTGAATTAGCCACCTGGTGGTGAAACTAGAAACTACCTACTCGCATCTGAGAAATTGTTTTGATTTTGCTTCTTCAAAATAAAAATTCTTAGCTCCTCAAATGGGAGATAATCCTTTGTTAAATCCTCTCTTACCCCGAGTCAAATTAGATTGACAAAAATCAAGCTGGCTTATCAGAAACATTACAGTCATAAAATTGTAAGTCTTTGAAAAAACATGGGATTTAATTCATATACAAACTGCAATGAAAGGCTGTGACAGCTACATTTTGGACTATTTAGATCTAATCAGCACCATTAAACTGTATGTTGGTTTACCTGATTTATTAGAGTGTAGTAGTTACAACTTGACTATAGGACATAGCAGGCCTGTATCCAGCTTTTGCCATGGGGAGGGGTTAGGTTTTTAAAAAATTACAAGAGGCTTCAAATTTGACAATTTTGGCTCGTTGCAAAGTGCTTAAAATGGTGTAGACTGCATGATTTTTGGAGAATTTTTTACCCCCCCCCCCCTCCCGCTACAGACCTGACGTCCTGACATAGGGCAATATTGTGTTACGTTATCATATTATCCATATCAACATGTCTGCGCAGTGGCCTATGATCATAAACCTAACATAACAACCTCAATCATTCACACGTACAGTACTAGTAAGGGGGTCATTCTATTTAAGATTATGCACATTGTTTTGATAAGTTATCACTCAAAGACTTAGAACTTCAAGAAGTCTGCATACCATACTGTAAACTGTAATATTAGGGGGATTGGCTTTGATTACTACCATTCTGACTATAATAACTTTGAACTTTAAAATACCATTGAATATGGCATGCATAATGTATTAAAAGGGCTATTAATTTATTAAAAGGTGTCTCTTTTTAAAATGTTGATTTGTTTGATTGGCATTTGTCAGTGGTTCAAAATTGTGAATTTCACTTAAGGGTACCCCGACAATACTTGAGGTTAACAAAACAAACCAGAATAAGTATTTAAAATAAGTTTTGTGGTATTATTTAAATAACTTAACATCCTAATAAATTCCTAATAAATGTGGGTTTATAAAAATATGTACAGTGGTTCTTTTCTCAGTACTCGGTTGAACTTCATTGTAACTTCACACAACATATTATGAATTAAATGTTTCAAATATTTCACTAATTAATCACACCAAAACTCAAAAAATCTATTTGTTAATGACTATTACAAAAACATTAACTACCTACAGCGTATATTCCACCATTTAATTTGCTTCATTATCGTGTTTATTTACTTTCTTTATTTTGACAAATTCATGAATGAACTGAGATTTGTTAATACTACTTCCCCACATTGACAGGTTGACAGAGCTGAACAATGGGGAACAACCTGCCTTCCTGAATTCAATAGGAAGTACAAATACCAACATTTCTGTTTAAACATTCTATTGACAACTATGTCTTTGACCTGAAAGTGTAACATTCAGGGTGAAGCTTGATTCAATGTCTAAAAGAATGTAAACTATTTGGATTAACATTGAATCACAAAAATGAACAAGAGAACTTCCTTAATCCAAATTGAAGCTAATGCTTTGTGAAACGTCTAATTCCAAAAAACTGAGAGTAAATACTAAGTTCAATAGAAAACTGATTGTCCTAAAATGAGATTTCATTAAGATTTCTATGCTAAAATTAGGCCAGAAAATTTAGAGGGGGTGGAATCATTAAATGGGACAGCCTGTCCTGTGGTCACACTGAGCATGTTATCTTCTCTTATTAATGCATTTCTACCAATAACAGTACATGTTAGCCATTCATCCCTACATCATTCCACCCCTTATGTAAAATAAACAGTACAAAAGGATTGATACTTTCAAAAAATTAATTAGTTATACATTTGTCTGTGCTAAGCTAGTAGCGACTCTGAAAAATGTAGAATTGGTGAAAAATAAACATAAAGTCAGTAAGAGAAATGAACAAAACTTGCAAAACTCAAAATTATTGAAAGATTTTGTAATCCCAAGGTCGTAGCATATATTTGTAGTATTGCGGGGACAAGCATCAATCTTTTATTTATCTATCCTGGCTGAAGTGAAAGTTGAATGGGATTGAACTGGCAAGGAATTTATGCTGGCCTTGTAATGATTAGGGACCCTTTCACCAGTTTCAATCCAGTCTTGTTTGAATGTATATTAATCAAAAACAAATTTTTATTTCAGTTTTTAATCCTTCCTATTCATGTCCTCTTCTCTTTAATAAAATATACCAATTGTCTCTGTCAATTAAATATAAAATTCGCAAAAAGTTATGACCATTCAAATAAAAACAATATATTAAAAACTATTTCTTAATTGCAAGCTAAATGTCAACTTATCCCGAATAATGAAAAAGCAAAAATATATAAGCTGTAATACATTCAATGATTTAGATGGTGCTTTGAACTTTTTTAAATTGGTTGATCATCAGAATATTTTTTGCGATTTTTAGTATATTTTTCATTTTTATAATTTATTTGAAATTGGAAGGAAAATGGTTTCCAGGTGCAAATGATTTTCAGAGAGCTGCAATTGCAAGCCTATTTTCAAAGCACGCCATCTTTTTTCTTTTATGTGAGAACAACCAAGCCCAGACACCTGTTTTAGAAAGCCTTGTATGAGTAAAATATTTGTGGCTTGCTTTATTGATCGCAATGAATGGATTTCACCATTTCTCTTAAATCAATATTAATTTATAAGGTCTTAACAATAGGACCTGTTTATGTTGATTTGTTTATCAAATATTGCTTTTTGTGTTTTCTCAAAGAAGCAAGTGCCTTTTGTAGTCATAAATACATGGCACTCAATATTCTTGGATACCCCTATTAAAAAGACCATTATAAACAGAGCTATTGCCATTGTCAAGGGGTGTGAATTTTATTAAAATTAAAGGGACAATATCACGATGGTAATATTGCTAATCTAGTACTATGTATTTGAATAAATAAAATAGTTATTATCAAGGCTTTTGAAATGCTCCCTCCACAAGAAGGAAGGAATGTTCCCAAGGCCTGGGGGGAATAGCATCACTCTAATATACAGATATTGTTGGCTAATAAAGCCCAATTACAGGATTCCATCCCATCATGTTTTGATTTTGCATGCAGTTCGTACACATTGTGATAAATATCATCAAACTGTGTTTGCTCATTTTTTAGGGATAGTATTTTGAATTCATTTTAAAAGCTTTGTGATTAGGGAGCTCAGAAAAAAATGTCTGAATTTTGTCAAGCTTGTATAAAGTTTAAACTGAGCTATATTTCAAAAGCACATCTGAGCACTTTTTGGGCTCATATGCAGGACTAAATACACAAAAATAACTAATGTTGTGAGTATGATGCACCACTAACATGACTAATAGACTCTGATACAAGCCTTCAATTTGCTCAACTAGAACTTTATTACCCTTTTAAAAGAATAAGGTGCCTTTTAATCAAGAGTATACAGGGTAAGAGGTGAGGATTGAGCCCTTAAAATTGTTGATTGTACATGGTATTTGATAATAAAGAGGCTGCCACAAATACTTGCCAACCATCCAACCAAATTATGTTTATTTATCATAATCGGTGACAGAAAAATATTTGTATAAAATAGAAACATAAATATTTCCTCAAGATGTCTCCCATTCAAATCTAGTATTTACTATATCCTAAAAATAGATTTGTTTGGATGGCAGATGCCAAAACAATATTCAAATGTCAAATGCATCTATTTATAATGCAGAAATTATATACAATTAGCATCTTAGAGCATAACATGTACTTTGAACTATTTATATGCAGCCAACTCTAGTAAATTGACCCTCTGTTGCCTTATATCAGCCCTCTGTTGCCCCCCTCCCATATACTCATCAATTCCCTCGGGTAATTTATCTGCAGGTGGGGTGTATGAGAAGGGGCATCATAGGAACTTTAAGCAAGACTTTTATATACAGTGTGTGAAAGGTTTGCATGTCAATGGAGGGGGAGGGGGTTACAGAAGTGCACAAGGGCTTGATACAAAACTACAATAACCCAGATAACAGTTTAACCACCAGGTGTATAATTTGGGTCAGATAATATGGCAGATATACTGGTAGTAGAATGTTCCTTAAATTTGAATATTCATCAGTTTTAGTGTATTAATTTTATATTACCCTTATGTTGATAGTTATACAAAAAAATATGTCCAGTAAAACTAAATATTATCTGTCCAATACAAGAAGAGATATTTCACTTTTTGTGATTTTATAACACGGGGTCTATGGATATTATCCACCTAAAAGTCACATTTTCAATGAAAATTAAATTTTGAAAGTTAACAAATGTAACTTTACATGTAGATTTCAGATATGATATCAGTTTGACTGAATTTGGAACATTTGATAATGTAAATAGAAAAAAACAGAACTGTTTCCAAGGGATTATGGTTTTAATTTTATTTGAAATACTTTCACCATCTGCTGGGGGAGACATCTTAGGGTCAAATATGCCAACTATGCCACAAGTAAATAAAGTCTTTGTTTGGTGACCATGGGGTCTGTCAGGTGGTCAAGGGGCTTTTGTACATGAGACAAAGACAATTTCTGGGCATCTTGACCTCTCTTTCTAATTGTTCTGACCTGACATTCCTTGCTTTGTTAATAAATCTAGGGGTTCCACCTGCCTTTAAACCAAAACACTGTGTTCATAAAAAATCCTGTTTTGTTTAAAACTAAGAAAATAATTGAGTGTATGAATCCAGCTATGAATTGAGATCAGATCGATCAACATATTTCAACCTATAAATTCAAATGCCTTGGAGGCTGAGTTCAATTTTAGATCAAATGGACAAAAATATATTTGATCACTATGAATTTTACGAAAGCAATCTGCTGCTGATTTAAGAAGTTATGAATTATTGCTGTGCAGCAAACAAAATAATATCACGCATGGTTAAGGGGCCGGGTCAATATTTCAATGTCTATCAAAAATGCAATTAATTAAATGTTAGGGGGAAGGAGACAAAATGGACATTGGATTTTAGTTTCCCAGGGTTTCGTCTTCTGCAATTTCTGGTTTGACAGGCATGGTATAATCATTTAATATATTAAACAGATATGTATAACGAGAATTTGAAATGTGTTGTTTATAGCAGTAACAGATATTGTTTACTGCTGGGTTGCATGCGTCACAAATCAACATTTTGACTTTTGTTGAAGGGGAGGGGGGGGGGTAAGTCCTAACTAAACTAAATATTACATTTTTTGACGGACATTGAAAAGTTGACCTGGCTCCTGAAAGATGCCGTATCTAAAAGGGGAATTCAAGTCACACAAATCTCACATGTCACATGACTTGAATGACATGACATGACTTCAAGGAAGCCAATCAGATTTAGAGCGGGTTTTTAACATATTTTCAAATTTCTGACCATCCAGTTAATAATTCCATAATAAGTCAATCATGAATTTGACACCATTAACATAGCAGTCAGTATCTGACAGTTCTTATGTACTTAGAAATAATTCCCAAAGGTGAGGCAATGGACATTTTGAACTATTGGCCTATCTAAAGATTGAAGTATATCTCTGCAATTTGAGACAGCCACAACAATTTTGGCTTTACATTTTGCAATGTAACGTAACGTTGGCTCCCAAGACCAGGATGTAGAGATGGGACTGGATCTATATAAGAGTGATGTAGAATAATGTTAGAATAGGGGAGTGGTCCTCATTATCGCACAGTCATAATTATTGCATGATTGCCCAAAGTAGCTAAAATATGCACCTACTCAATACCACTACTTCCGGTCTTAATGATTTATCCATACATGTTCAAATATTAACAAACATCTCTTCATTTTTATTTACTTCCAGTACTGTCACAATAAGAATCCGCAACGCAATATCCTAGATGTGAGTAGAAATAATCTTGATTTACATCATTAAAAATTCACAATTCACAATCTACATGTAAAATTACATCCAGAAATGTGGTTTTGAAAAGAGTTTATCTACTTTGGAAATTTAATTTTCTTTGAAAATGTGACTTCTAGGTCGGGGAGATTCCCCATAGACCCCATGTTGTAAAACCACAAAAAGTGAAATATCTTTTCTTGTGTTGGGCAGATAATATTTTCGTTTATTCCATAGTTAGCATGACATTCATAGACAATGTGAAAATAAAAATGGTATTTTTGTAATCAGTGGTAAAATATGATATTTTTGACAAATTTTCACTTAACCATAGCATACGGTTTCATAGCCATTACATAATACCATGAAATGACAATCCAAACACAACTGTACGATAATTAGGACGACTTTTGCGATAACTAGGAGGAACACATATGTGAGTCTAAGGGGTCTTAGTGTTAGTTTTAGAGATCGAAAAAAGACTTTGATTTTAGAAGAAAGGTTGATCTTTTGTGTCATACCCTCAAAGTAAGTTGATAATTTCAATTGTCAGTAGTTTCCCCTAAGTACCCGTGCAATGATAGGACCATTACAGGCCAGGGGACTGTGATGAGTCTTGGCATCTCATTTTCTAATAACAACAACGGAAAGATCGAATGCAGAATCTACCTCTGAATTGGTGACGTTAATCATATCTAAGATCTCTGATGAAACAGATATATGATCGGGAATATGGGAGTTCATCAGAAAAGGAAAATACCTAACAAGACCAACCAATCAATGACATGTGCAATGTGCCAAAATATTGATCAAAATTTTCGAACATTTCATATTTCCTGGTTTACAAGCATTTTCTAGCATTACAAAACAACGTATATTTGGCCTCTAAAGAAAGCTGACGATGCAGCCGATATAAATGATATAAATTGAATTCGATTTGGAAACATATATGGCCTGTATAGTGCCTCAAACTTTTCAAAATTTTCGAAAAAATGAAAATTTCACTCACGCATCTCTTGGGTCAATCCATGATGTTTCCTTCGTTACGTGGTTGATGTAGAATACTTTGCCATCAAAATCTGTTGCCACTTCAAAAGTCTCGGGTAAAGGCAGTTCGTTGTTACCTTTTAGCGGCATATTTACCCGAGAAATAACAAAAAATGTCACTAAATTTCAACACAAACTCTACGACTCCATTTTGGTTCACTCTACTACCTGATCAGCATATTTTGATGACGTCATGTAAATTTCATGAAAATCTTGATGCTCAAAAATATCAATATTGTTACAACAACAGTTGTGCAGATTTGAATTTAAATTCTCTGCAAAACAATTTGATAAAATCCGCTAAAAGAAATCTATAATCAAACGATCTTTTTAAAAAAAACATATAGAAATTTTAAGGATAATGATTATTGAATAATTTCGAGCAAGGGTATATTCCTGTACTGGGCAACAAGTAAGCCAATCACCTTACTTCACATTTGTGAAGGGGGAGAATGGAATGTGTGTATTTACATGACAAAACATTCCAATCATAAAATGGCTGTTCAGTATAGTCGACTTACTCCCTTTTATTTTAACATTCCACATAGAACTGCCATGCCACCTTTAAATAAGCAACGGAATTATAATAGTAAATAGCCTATTAGGCTACCGAATGTGGGCCACATGTAGGCCTAAACCACTGGCGAATCTGGGGGGGGGGGGGGGGCAGAAAAAAAATTGGGCCCAAAAATGTTGAGCCAAAGAAGGCCTTGAGGCTCCAAAAAGTGGGCCTTTTCTGGTCATAAATGGGCCTCTTAAGGCCTTATTTTTAATTTTAAGCTAAATTTGGAAGAAAATTGGCCTCAAAATTTCAAAATTTGGGCCCACTTTTTGGTTTTAGGGCACACAGATGGCAGAATTTTTCTAAGAAAATACATCCTAATTCCTAAGAAAAATTCTGCTATCTGTGTTTTAGGACAGATGGCAGAATTTTTCTAAGAAAATACATCCTAATTCCTAAGAAAAATTCTGCTATCTGTGTTTTAGGGGCCCAATTTTTTTTTTCTCAGACCAGAAGTTTGGCCCCACCCTTGTTGGTTCCCTGATCCGCCCCTGTAAACGTTACCTTAGTTAGACTCTAGCCCCCCCCCCTAAGTTAGGCCCCACAAATTGCGGCCTTCAAATAAAGGTCAAACCTCAAAATTGGCGTAGGTAAATATCCGCAGAATATGCTGTCGCGTTCTACTTCAGAGTGAGACCAAAGCTTGGGCGGTGTAAATTGAAATTAATCATATACAGGGCGTATCAAAAAAAACGCAACAAGTAGTTTTCTCGTAAAATCACAAAACTTGTGATGACTACATCAATCTCATTTAATGTACCATAAAGCCATGTCTCTCCTCTTTGCAATGATATGTCATTCATTCACATGTGGTAATGGTTGGGTGAGAAATCTTCCATTTGCACAGTGGGTCAAAATCGGCTCTGCGACAAGTTTTAGATATTGAAAAAATCAGTACAAGGGCTAAGTGCCAATGGAAGTTCCCTGACTTGAATTGTTCTGACTTTTTCTTTTGGAGCTATCTCAGAAGCATCTGTGCTCACAATTCCTCCACCAGATATTGCAAAACCTCTAGAAAGATTTGCCCATGGGCTACTTTTCTTTGCTTTAACCCACACATGATTCAGGGCTGAACCGTGCATGACGTGGGCAAATGAGCGCATCTAGATCTTTGTGTGCAAGGAAGTGGTGGCAATTTTGAGGGGTAGGCTTATAGGATGTATTCTTGCAAGAGTATGAGTATGAACACTTTACTGTCTATGCCACACCTGTCACACCTTCTTCCAATAGCCCCTATGCCCCTTGTATTGTATTGTATATTTATTGCCTCATTTATATGAGAGAATACATTTTAGTATACATATGGTTTACATATAAAATATAAAATACAAGGATAAGATTAAATTATGTGATAAAAAGTTGTTGTTTTGGAAAACATAAAAATAAAGTGATAGAGAAATTATGTGTCAAGCAGAGCCAACAGGTTGGCTCTGTGATTGTACATTTTGTGTACACATGATGATACAATTATTAACGTCTCACATGAAACATCTGAGAGACCTAAAACTTTCTTCATAATAACACCCATACTGTCACCACGACAGCCAAGGGCTTCAAATATGTTATGCCTATATGGTTCATACATAGGGCATCTTAATATAAAATGTTCAATTGTTTCAGTTTCACAGAGGTTACACAATATACATCGTTTTGAACCATTGAAGTTGTTCGTATTTAATACATGGGCGTTACATATCAATTGCATCATAGTTTTACACTGGCTTTGACATTTAGGATATTTCTGACAAATCAACCACCATATGCAAGGTTTTAAGTCTGTGACATAGTCACGTAGGTATAAAAGTTTGCCATAACATGAGCATTGCAAGAAAAATTGCTTGACTTCGTCGGATCTTACAGCATTGACAATTTGCAGTCTCCATGACCTCTTCGACGGAAGATATCCAGAGCCCAGCGCATTTTTAACCAGATTTTCAATTCCTAGCATTTTGGTCTTAAGGAAAATGCGCCGGATAGGAGAGAAAATATCGGCATGGTTGTCATAAGTGACATGAAACATCTTTACTAACCGCGTTATAGTTATATCCCTGTAAATATTATTAAACCTAAGTAAACTCCAGAGATACATCATCTGCAACACTGTAATATAGCCGTCTATTGACAACCATCCCAACGGCATCGTTGCACTAGGATTGGCTGAGGTTTTGGGGAAAAATTGGATACGTTTGCCAATCTCCCTATGAGTCAATTCAAGCTTTTCAACATCTGACGCTTGGTAATTTATAACTGGTGCCCCAAACAACATGGTTGGAATAGAAAAGGCCCAGTACAGTTTTGATGCTGTTAAGGGTGACAAACCACCTGTTTTGTGCCCCAGTCCCAAAAGTGAGCAGAATTTTCGCTTACCACTAGTGCAGCGATCATTAACATATTGCGAGATATCATTTTTACTAGATATTGGAATACCAACATGAACAGTGAAATTGACCTTTGGAATTCTCGTGTCACCTATCTTGAGAACGACATGACCTTTAACACTTGAATCAGTGACCATATCATTAAATGTCAGAAAGTTACATTTCGCTGGATGGATTTCATGTCGCCATCTTCTACTATGTTCAAAGGCAGTGTTTAACATAAGTTGCATATCCTTTTGATTTGTGGCAATAATGGTCATGTCATCCGCATAAGAAGGACATACACAATTTACATCATCAATGTGGCCACCTATATTCATTTCACATAGATCCTGAATAAGGTCAGCCATGTACAACTGATAAAATAGCATAGATAGGACACCCCCTTGGTGGACGCCCTGCATGACATTAAAAGGTTTAGAAAGTGTATTTGAACTTCCTACACGAACGGCACATTCATATTTATGGTAATTATCATAAAGCATACGCCACAGTTTGCCACGGATACCAAGTTTATGTAGTTTGACCATCAATCCATCTAACCAAACGGTGTCAAATGCTTTTCTAATATCTAATGTGGCTGACTTTTGCAATGTTTTAAACTTGGGTCCGAGCTGAATTTTGCCCCACTTTGCAAAATTAATGATTATTCGGCCATAGATGACTCCCTGTGAATGAATGATATTCCATTGCAAAGAGGAGTAATTTGGCTTTTGGTACATTGAATTAAAAGGATGCAGTCAGCATTGGTTTTATGTTTTCGTCCAATATTGCATCGGGCTCAGTACACTGACTTTTGCAATGTTTATAACTTGGCCCGAAGCTAATTTTGGCAAATGGAATGATTACTCGCCCAACTATGACCAAATATCAATGAATGATATATCATTGTAAAGAGGACACATTGCTTTATGGTGCATTGAATGAAATCAATACTGTTATCACTGGTTTTGTGCTTTTCCAAGATAACAATCTGTTGCGTTTTTTTTTGATACGCACTGTATTTTGATCCTTTAATCGCTCAGAACGCGCCAAGTAAGCCTAAAAAAATCATTTTTTAGATAAATCATATATTTTGGTCCTAGAATCGCCCAGAACGCGCCAAATAAGCCTAAAGATTCGATTTTTTGAAATCATATATTTTGATCCTCGAATCGTTCAGAACGCTCAGCCCAAGAATCTTATTTTATCGCTCTCTACGTGTCAAATAAACATTTAGATTTTTAAAATTAATACGTAAATCATATATTTTGAACCTCACAGGGAGATATGCCGAGAACTAAAAAAGTAAGTTACTCATGACCATGGGATATTAGCGCGCGCTCATTGAGTACTCATTTCAGTAAATATTAGTGCTAAATAAGCACTTATGACATGACTACCGATTTGTTGCATGTTTTAGTACTAAGTGAGTACTCATATGATGAGTGATAAAATAGCAGTAATTCCATTTTTAGCGCTAAATTGGTACTCATATCATGAGTGATAAAATAGTACTAATAAAATTGATTTTTCAGCACTAGATGAGTAAGCTACTCATATCATGAATTAGTACTAAATTAGCACTCGTGGCACGAGTGCTCATGAGCGCGCTTTTGCCAGAGTGCTAATTTAGTATTAATTTTTACTAATTGAGTAATCGGCACGATAGAATCGCTCAGAACGCTCTCAAATCAGCCCAAAACTCCTAAATTTTCCGGAGGAGCATGCCCTCTGGCGATGTCCCTCACTAGCTATTATTTTACAGGCCATGATAATTTTGCTCGAATTTTGTTCCGTCAAATTTTAATTTTCTTCTGCGTAAGCGCGGCAATTTTTGGGTCCCCTCCCTTGTTTTCGTGGCCACCCCTGGTGTCTTGTATGATTATATATATAATTTTGCAGTTATATAGTGCCAAGGGTTCTTAGTAATAATATAATGTAACAAGTCCTTCAACTTGGATTATATTTGATCTAAAAGGGGAGTTCAATTGGTCCGCCACCGTAATTAATGATATATTTTAGTTTTAGTCGCCTTACTGGATATTGCAGTATCAGTGAAATGTTAGCTATGTTTTTTCAACGTGTCTTAATTGCCAGCTTTAGTTTAGCAATTTTCTAGATGGGGTGCCTTCATACAATCTCCTGGAGACCTTTCTATACCCTATACTCACTGGGGTTTGCATCAGGGCCATTAGCTTGGCGATCATCAGGCCGTATCAGTTCAGGAACATTTTGCAAAT